CTCACATAATTTCCCTTTTTCGTGTGTATAGATCACAAAAAAAAAACTAAAATAAACACACATTTACAGACGCAGGCAAATACGTATTAAAAATAGATCTGTATCTTATTCATGTTTATTCACATACTCGGCTCGTTCAACCAAAATGTGATACAGTGTGATGGTGACAATGACTGATTGAGGGACAAAACATGATAATTAGTACAGCTTTTTGCCACCCAAATGGCTACAAAGGCGAGAGCTGGGTACCTGAGTTTAATGACTGCTTTCAAGCTAGAGGTCTTTTTGATAATAGTTTTCAACACACCAATGTCAGTCGAACTTTTGATAAATCGTTCCACATACCATGACATCAAAGATAGGGTGATTAATGCGAACATGTCCGTATTTTTTGTAGAAAATCCGTATTTTCAGCACTTTGATTAACTTAACTAAATTCGCAAAAAATATTTTCAAGATTTCAATGCTTAAAACTGCTCTTGCTCACATGCCTATCTTGCGTAATGAACAGGCAGATTCCCTAGTTATCTGGCCACACTAATCAAAGGTGCAATCAGTTATCGGTGAGGAACAAAAGTTTTACGAGTATGTATCTACTGTGAAATTCAAATGTTAAATCCTCCCTTATTTATTGTTCATTTAAAATTCAAATTGCGCTCACTCAAGGAGTTTCTGTAAATATGACCCTAATGATCAAAAAAACCCGTCCTTGCCACTGTACAAGCATAGACTTTCCAATTGGAACCTCCGCATAGTACATCTGGCAACGCGGTTCTACAGATACCATCACCAAATTACTAAAAATTGTCTTGCCTACCTGGACCTAATGCGAAGCAACAGCAAAATTCATATGAAACCACTGAATCCAAATTTGGTTTGTCAGCAAAAATCGCTGTGCTCACGTTATTTGACGTACCTAAACCGTTGTTAGACTTTTGCAATTGAATAATTTTACTGTTTGCTGTTGTAGTGTTAATTGGATAATTACACAAATTAACACATTTTTGCTTTGCTTAAAGTGTAATAGCAGCTCCGATGTTACCTGTCTGCTTTTGAACTTCTTATATCAAACCTAGGTGTTCATTGTCCATAAACAACTTGTTAGTCTGACTGCTATTGAATGTAGTGAAACGCATCAGGCATCAGGTATTTCTTACATTTTCTTTTTTGTAAGGTTCAACAACTAAGTGCGAGATTTTTCAACAAATATTAGTTATAGTGACATTATAAAATTATTGCTCTTGGTGAATTTTTCCTCTCTAAACATCATCACGAATATTGTGTTTTTTTACTTGATCTCAAACACATTAACCACAGAAATGTCAGATACTTAACACTTTCATATTATTTCGCTAAGTTTATTACGTGTTTATATATTTCTTGGGTTTTTACTAAACAAATCACCACAATTTAATTATCTTTGTAGTTGGTTTTTTCTTGGAAACAACGCTGCCTTTCGTAAATGTCAAAGATCACGTATCAATCCAGACTAGATTCTTATAGAGTTTCCAAGAGTTTCCAATAAGACCTGGTTCATGTTGAAATTGAAGTGGAACTTACATGCTTGAAATGTCCGCTATTGCATGCGTGGGTGGCTCAAATGAAAGAACAAATAGTTTCGTACTCCATACACAGTTTATTTTATTCCATTCAGTGACCCATTATATATTTCAGTCAGATGTAAATTAGAAAATTTTAAATTGATAAATGCAATTGTTTAATAAACAATTGTAAAATAGTATCCATTATTTACATCATTTAGTCTCTGTAGCGTAGGAAATGGTATACTACGAAAATAAACACTACATTTGTTACGCAATAGTTGCAGTGACGTTCACCGTAATTGGTTTCCGTGGTGAGAATTGATAATTGAGTTTTAGGTTCAGTTCCCCAAACACGTGAGATACGTGTTTGGGTGCAATTAAACCAAAAAATGTTACAGCATAGTAAAATAAACGCAGAGACCGACTCACGTTGTCATTTTTTCTTGAATATGAAATAGTTTCAGATTCATTGGTGTATCTATGAAAACCGAGCTTTGATTGAGGCACACACTCGTATGCAATCGGCCTTTTTTTTTTGTGAGGGGGGAATGCATTTACGCACCATACCATAGCCCGAGCTACGGCGTGTGTGGGACTCCAGGTTGTCTTGAGGAGACCACCTAATACCCACTAAACCCTAACCTCCGCGTGGCCCGACTCATCAACGTCTCGGTAGGCCATGTGTTGTGCTTGACCTGCGGTCTGCTACAACGTCTCCTCATGTGTTTCAGTCTCTGGGAACGCCGGGTTGGTTCCCTTTACCTCGCACATTCTATCGATGTCGTTAAGCGATCATCGATAGAGGGTCTGCTAGGTTCTCTTGAAACTCTTGTTTTCGAAAAATCAAGAGTTTCAAGTCCTCTTACCTATATATTGTTCCTGGTCCTGGTCCTGAAGGGTCCTGGTCCTGAAGGGTCCTGGTCCTGGTGGGTCCTGGTCGTGGCGGGTCCTGGTTGGTCCTGGTCCCGGTAGGTCCTGGTCCTCTGCATCCACGCCGTGGGGGGGGGGGGGGGCAACCGCGGGTTCTCCTAGTCTCCTAGTCAAGGTTCCAGTTAGCGGGTGCCAACTGGGACCTTGGTACCTGGTTCTGCGGTTGCGAGGCCTCTCGTCCGGATCGTAGTCCATAAGGAATCGTAGCTGCTCGTTCGGGTGGTCCTGAGCTTTCTCGAAGGTCTTCTCCGCTTTTTTCCTCATGTACTCGTGGATGGTGTCCCAATGCAGGTCTCTACGCAAGGTTGAGTTTCTTACGTAGGATGGTGCACTGGTGGCGATCCGGAGTAGCTTCATCTCTAGAGCAGCAAGTCGCTTGCGGTAGCTGGGGGCAGCGTACCCCCAGACCGCGGAGGCGTAAGCGAGCTGAGGTCTGGCGATGGCCTTGATCAGCCGTAGCTTGGTCGCTAGCGGCATCCGGCTGTGTCTACCCAGTAATGGGTAGAGTTGAGCCATGGCTGCTCTGGTCTTTGCGATGACAGCTTCTATGTGGGCTTTCCAGGTGAGGGACTTGTCACATACGATCCCCAGATATTTGACTTTGTCGCTCCACTGGATATCTTCGTCGAAGATGGATGCTTCGAGAGGTCTTGCAATCCTTCTTCGTTGAATGAAGATTGCCTGCGTCTTCTGGACGTTGATGCGGATTTTCCATTTCACGCACCAGTCCTGGATGTGGTCCAGTTCATCCTGTAGTCTCCTACGGATGATCTCGGGTCGTCTATGCTTGGCGGCTATAGCAGTGTCGTCTGCATATAGGATTCTCTGTGTACGGACGTTTATTTATGTATACTCAGATACATACGTTTTACTTCCTAAGCCACTGGGTGAGTAAGTATTGTAAGCGCGAAAAAATTCGAAAATGAGATATTGTTTTTTTATTGTTATACCTGTATGACATGTATATCACGGAAAAGTCACCCATTTCCGTGGGTATGTCTGTAGGTCCGTCCGTTCGCTATTGCTTGGAATGTCTATGACTTGAGAAGTACCGGAAGCGTTGTAGTTTTTGAAAATCGGGCCAGGGTTAAAAACACGAAAAAATAAAACTGCGTTTTTTTACGTTTCAGGCCTTCTGATCATTTTCAGAAATTTTTTTTATGGTTTAGAAATCGGTGGTTGGGGGCTGTAGGGGATGAGGGATGGAATATCTCGTTTTTTTTTTAGTTTTGCCTCACTGCCGTGAACATTTTTTTCTTGACAGCACATTTATGCTTGTCATTGTCATTATGAAAACTTGCTTGTCATGGGCGTGTGATGTGTGCTAAGATATGTTATTCTTCGATATAGAACATAGTAGTGCCTGAATATACACCTACAATGTCGACAGCCTGTATTAGAAGTATTTTCAGAAAGTGAATGAAAACAACTTTCCTGTATCACTCAATTTATGTATCTGTAACAAGTGACAGCTGCGTTACAGATAGGCTTGCTCAGTGCGCTATTTCCTTGGGGGGAATTAAGCTATGCACATGGTACCATTAGTCAATCTTCTTACATATTTCGTATGGCATTGTGACGTAGGAAACTAAAATCATGAAAAGAACTTGTTAGAGATTTTAGTACTTGCAACGTATTTGGTATCGAGAGTACCCTGTAATTTTAACAGTGCACGTGTCCATATTTGGGCGGATCCAAATAGTTCGCTCGTAGACATCAGCCCTATCGTCACGAAACACTATACAAAGACATGCATTTATTTTTACATTTTTATTTACACCGTATGCAACTAACCTGTTTTTCTTTATATTAAATCCGTTAAAATCCAAGTTCGTGTTACAGTTCACTTATTGCAACTCGTTGGCAACAGCACCATCGCTAACAGAACTATAGAGGGGTTGTCGTAAGGGGTTAAAAAGACCACAACAGAGTCAAAGGCGCTTCTTTTCATCTTCTTTAATAAAAAAACCCATTCTCCACGATTTGAGCACAAACTCACTTTTGCCTTCAATTAAAACACGTCAAACAACGAATGTTTTTTCAAATAATTTTTTTGACCTCAAGTGAATATGCAAGTTATTTATATTGCAAGTTATCATAGAGAATACTTATCATGACTACAATTACAAGTATGTGATTGTATGAAAATCATACGATTTGTCCTAGTAGTATTTATTCATAGCTGAAAGTCTCATGGTGGTTTTTGAAGCTAGTATTTAATTCAATGGTATATTCCATATTCTTCTAATTCATAATTTTTGTGAATGCTTAAAATGTATACTAAAATTTTGATTCAAAAAACGTAATATTTTATGCATATTGCAAGAACTTACTAAAACATTAGTTTTGCCAGTTTATCTTTTGAGCCAAGTGGAAACCTCTGTCCACGTGACAAAGCGATTCCATGGGTGCTGCCATTCAGCATAAAAGCTTTGCACCGCTGGACTGGTTTACGTTGGCTGAACGATCTCAATGTTTTTAAATAAATTTTTATTTTTTATTTTTTAACATATAATGTTGTTGCAGTGTCAGATGCTGAACTCAAGCGTGTGCAAGAATCGTTCAAAAGGCTTACAAATGGAGGACAACTTTTGTCAAGAGCAGCATTCACACAGGTAAATATTTATTGTCTAGTTTTTCTGGAATCAATTTCTGCATCTTAATCATAATTAAACGCATGTTTGAAAACCACACTAACGAAGTTTCCATTCAAATCGGCGTTTTATTGTGATTTGTTATGTGTACAGACGAAACATGCAAATCATTCCTCATATTCGTATGCAGATTTGGTAAATAAAAATGATTATTAAGTAATGCGTGTTTGGTGTAATAGATATCATGGATAAGTTATAGTTCATCTGTATCCTAAGTAAGGTCATGCGAAGAGACGTCTCATAGTTTAATGTAACATTTTAGTAACTCTTATTCCTTATAATGATTTGTAATTTACTGTAGCTAGGTGGACGTGTGCCATCATATCATCCTGACAAATGAACCATTTTCTTAGAGGCTTAAGCGACATTAATCTTGGCTACGATTCAAGAAAATTTCTTCAATTTGTAGAAAGTGAGATTACGATCGTTTATTTTGTGAAGTATCTGCATGATTATGTGAAAAAATTTGATGGTACTTGTTTCAGCACATTTTGGGAGAAGGCGTACCTCGGCCAGTGGCTGACTGGCTTTATGCTGCCTGCGGGGGAGGGTCTAGGGGCATAGCCCTTAGGGACCTCCTCTGCGGGCTAGTATTACTCACCAGAGGGACTCAAGAAGAACGTGTAAGGTATGTCTGTTCTCTGTTTCGCTATCTCTTCGTTATCTTATCATACATTGCACGATTTTTGTAATATAGTATTTTCGCAAGACGAAATTAAAAGTATTTAGTAATTTGTTGATAGAAATAATTTGAATATCAAACATACCGTTCTGTTTTGTTACTAAAATAAATCGTGCAATAGTCTGTGTAACACCCTAAAAGTTGAATAGTTATGGGATGGCATACAGGTTTGTGAAAACTTCTTTTTTCATCTCTATATCTGAATATGAACCACAATACGGATAACCGAAAAAAAAAAATTGGTGCGGAGCACCAAATAAGATAATTCAAAACTAAGATAGTATGTTGCTGAAAATATATGAAATTAACGACTTCAGAAGTTCTTTGTTCGAATCCTGAGATAATATTCTTAATGCAGAAGCTATACAGCTCTACTACATTTCACGACGTATTTAATATAAAGGGTTGTCCAATAGGGACGCAGGAAAGTAAACGTCAATTTGACATAGACGCCATCTTTGTTTTCTGTCACCGACTTGTCATTTTGTTAGTTGAATGTTTACCATTGATCGCTATGGAGTCGTATTCGATTGAAGACCGCATTAAAGTTATTCAAGAGCACTACAAAAATGGTGCAAAAATAAAAAACACGTTTTCGCGCGCTTCGTGAACATTTCGGTCGCAACAACCGCCCAAACGAAACAACCATCGGCCGTCTGGTGCGTAAATTCGAGGCAACAGGTTCTGTGGCAAATCTGCCAGGCTCTGGCCGGCCAAGGAGCGTTCGCACACCGGAAAATATTGCTGTTGTGAAGGAGAGTGTGAGAGACGATCCGAAACAATCAACAACGCGTCGATCCCAAGAATTGGGCATTTCGAGAACCAGTTTGCTCCGCATTCTCCACAAGAATTTGAATGTACACGCCTACAAGATCCAATTGACGCAAGAGCTGCGTCGGGCCGACCATTTTTCGCGCCGAACGTTCTCAGATTGGCTCCTTGAACACCGCCAAATTGATGCCAATTTTTCATCAAAAATCATGTTCAGCGACGAAGCGCATTTCACTTTGAATGGGACGGTAAACAAGCAAAACTGCCGCATCTGGGCGAACGAAAATCCCCGTGAGTATCAAGAGCAGCCGATGCATCCTCAAAAAGTGACTGTGTGGTGTGCATTGTGGTCAAAAGACATCATCGGACCTTACTTTTTCAAAAATGCGGCCGGGGACGCCGTTACCGTCAATTCTGAGCGATATCATGTGATGATAGAGAACTATTTTTTGCCGCAACTTGAAGGAATGGATATGGACGATGTTTATTTCCGACAAGACAGTGCAACATGCCACACAACCAACGTCACTATCTATCGATTGCAGTCCTTCTTCGGTGATCGCGTGATTTCGCGCAGAGGAAATGTGCCATGGCCACCAAGATCGTGCGATTTGACTCCCTGGGACTTCTTTTTATGGGGATATTTGAAAAGCAAAGTCTACGTCAACAAACCAGCCACCCTCCAAGAACTCAAAAACAACATCATTGCCGAGATAAATGCCATAGAACCGACCATGTTGCAAAATGTCATTGAAAATTTCGACCATCGCGTGGACGTCTGTAAATCCAGTCGTGGTGAACATTTGAGCGATATTATTTTTCATACATAAATGGTATAAATGGACCTTCAAAATAAAGTACCCAACTTGATTTGAATATCAATCTTTCTTGTTTTAATATGCGTTTACTTTCCTCCGTCCGTTTTGGACAACCCCATATTTCCATCTATAAACTAACTTGTTTTGAATCTCCTTGGTTGGTGCACGCCACCCTTACCAATTGATACAAAAGATAGGTTATTGAAATGGTTTTATCTGCGAACTAATAATTGGTTTTACAATCACCTGTAGTGGCAAGTACCATAATGATGATAATAATAATAATATTAATAATAATAGATGTCTTTATTTATCTGCAATTACATTGTAGTGAAAATGTGAGACTTATATGGCGAAGTGCTCAACAGCTGTGCACAGCAATGAACTATTCACAAACAGATTTAGTTAGCTACATCGAAAGTAAAAAAATAAAAGGCATACTTTCAAAACCTAAGTACACCAAAAATTATTGCGAATCTGAATAAATCATAGGATGAAAAAAGAAATGCATGATTGCGTAAATTATATGTTGGTTGTAATCTTGTAAGTCTTATTTTAATTTATTCCTTTTATACTGTAGAAATGTCATTATAAAGCATAGCCACATTGTAGGAAAGCTACGCCACATTCCGCGGGTAAAACCGCGAGGCAGAAAGCTAGTAAAATTATAAATCACAATTTTCGCGGGTGTTCGCTGGAGACTTCATATTATGTTATCTAACTTTATGAAAATAGACACTCTAAAAACTTGTAAATTATCAATAGGAATTTGATTTTTTGAGCCCTATGCGGAACATTACACGATTAAGAGACATATCTGCCTAAAATTCAAATTTTTTCTAACCTTACAATGCTTATTTTGATCAATCGTCGGTATATTTAACTTTTAGGGCCCTACACGGATATTACACTATTTTAGCAACAAAAGAGAAAGTTATAACTGAAATTAAAATTTTTATATATTTTGTGTACAACCGCTTCCTTTAAAAAAGTATTATTTCTTTTTTCTTTGAATTCTATCTTTCGAAAACACTAATATAAAAATTGTGCAGTGTACGATAAGACAAGTCTTACTGTTTCAGTAACAAAAGAGAAAGATAAACTTGAAATTGAAACTTTTTCTAACATCAAATTGCTTATTTGACCAGTCAGCGTCGCCAGTCGAATCTATACACAGTATACAACCCTCCGCCCCATAGGTATTATCATGTAACATTTAAAATTTATGTTACAATGTACATTCAGCATATGTATAATTAGTAGTGTCCTATTTTTTTGGTAGAATGTGATTTAAGTACGAAGGTATGGATCGGAGTAACTGTGATGAAAACCAGGTCTAATGCGAAGCAGAGCTAACCGCTGTCTTTGGAATACCGGCCTTTATAACGCTATGCAATGTGAGGAAGGCCAGAAATATCAACCTACAAAATAACATTATAGTACAAAAGGAAATGATCTAAAATTTGCCATTGATAGAAAGTAGGAATAAGTTATTCCTTTTCATAGTAACTATTGAGCTATTTTTCATTTAATATTTGTATATCTGATCGAACGATTTTTAAATCGGTTAATTATATTCAATGCTATACCATTTTACAAGTTATTTTGAATTTTATCGCAGTATATGTCGTGCTTTTTATGTCCCACTCATGTATTTTTATCTTTTTCATCCATATGCAACATGTATTATCAGTTTGTTTCTTATTTTAAATTGGTTAGATTTTTGACGTAATATGATTGTGTAAAAACATTATTATCCTATAATAAGACGAATTTAGGAGCTGTCTGGCTATTAAAAAAATTGCCACGGTATCTTGACCATTGGTATATCAGAAACGGAACTCGGTTACATTGCAGATAAACTAACGGAAATAGCCAATTAAGTAAAAAATTCCGGATACCGCAGAAATTTATACCGGTCTTTATACGTGATTTTAAACGTCCCGAGGTATGGCATTTATTAAAGAAACGTTTTTCCAAATCGCCTCGTAGACTTATTATGAGTTCCGATTAATGTAAACACTTAGAACAAAAGTGTCTATGGACCCAAAGCTTTGACGTGGGTAGTTTACGGGATATAGGAACATCAAAGTTGCAATAGCTACTCAGTGTTTGGTGTTTGTATTATTTTTAATAACCATACCATACAAGGGAGTTGACAAACCCATAATCAACAAATGTAAAGATCGGAATAAGACAGCGCATCTATTACGAGAATCGACCACTGCGAGGATGTATAGCAGCTGTCGGCTGAAACTCGGTCCGTGTTTGTTAGCCCAGTCACCACTGTGTCCGCTAGATGGCTGACGATTCTGGCTGTATAGTAGATGTGGTCTAGTCGGTATTGAAACATGCTATTTTCACCCGTCCGATCAAGGAACGCTAACGATGGACAGCTGTAACGTGCTTTTTGGCAACTCACCTAGGCTTGGCCTCTCGTCTCTGGAACAACGAACGAAAGCGTCGCGTCTATCTTATATCCAGGAGGTAGTGTCTATCGAAATAAGACAGCGCAAAGCGCCATCTATCACCAGAGTCATCACTGCGGAAAGCGCATAGTTGCTATTTGTTGGAAGTGAGGGTATGAATTCTATCGAAATAAGACAGCGCAAAGCGCCATCTATCACCAGAATCGACCACTGCGGAAAGCGGATAGCTGCTATGTGTTGGAACTGAGAGTATGAAATCTACCGAAATAAGACAGCGCAAAGTTGGCTTCTTCAGGCAGAACACGTTAATCAATGCTGTACCGCTTATTATAACGCGGGACAAGAATGGAAATTTTGCATTGAAAAACTTAAACCAAATATGATTAATTCTTTTTCAGGTTTCTATGGACGTTGTATTGCAACGACTCCGGCGCGTATATCCTCCGCAGCGAGTTCCAGTCGGCTCTGCAGATCGAAGGGGCGTTTCCACCGCCCCCCGATTCTAGCGGCCGCCCCAATCCATCATGGGATAAGACTATTGTTTCACTGTTTGGAGCAGGGCAGGATAAGGTCGGATTTGATGACTTCAGGGCGTGGATTATGTATAATAAGGAAGCTACTGTGTTGTCAAAGTGGTGAGTTGCGAATTTTTTGAAGCGTCCTTTTTACTATGGGCAATGCAACTCCTAAAACATATCCTGTGGTTTTCGTCTTCATAGGACTCCAATGTCTGGCCGGATCAAACTAGATACGTTTTAATGTTTCTTTTTTCAAGTATAATGACATTGCTTTTTTGGGTAAATGTCTTCTAGGTGACAGTTCATTTATTTTTCTTTTCTTGATTCCTATGAAATAACAGTTAATGGCAGTACATTCTTGTTTATGTTTTTTGGGTGTCATTCATATTTCTTCTATTCATTCCTATACAGCGACAAAAGATTGAACTGTCCTGCCCTCTGTTTAGCGTTTTCGTGACGTTGAGCGTGTCCGGTACATTAAAATGCGACAGATAACATCATGCTCGCTTGTCGCTTTGGAGGGCTGGATGTGCTTTGGGAACGAGAACGACTACCCCCACCGATCCGGCATGCTACATGACAAAAGAAAAGAAAAAATAAATAAAGTCACCTGGAAGACACGTATACAAAAATATAAGGCCATAATATAGCCGCGCACGGTGGTGTCCTCAACTACAGTGGTTTACTTTGGTCCATTGTGAGGAAGAACTCTGGGAAATTCATTAAAATATGCAACAGAATTTACACGTGAAGACAAATACAGAACATCACTTGTCTAAATGCATTGCATTATTTCAATTTTAATTACGTACACATTATTATCTTGAAGCCTCCTTAACTCGAGTGTCGGGGGCCCCCTTGAGTCCTGGAGCCCGACACACAGTGCGTCGAATGCGTCATCTTAGATTCGCCTCTGATTTTTAAAAAGTATTTTCAAAATTGTGGTCCAAGAGTATATAAATCCTCGATCAATACAAAACTGTGTCGTTGGTTAATACTTTTTTATGTAACTCCATTCATATTTGTTATGTATACATATACCTACCTACAAACTTAAAATAATCAGATTTATTGATTTAAATATTATTATCTTTCGATTGCCTGATATAATTGTGGATTTATGTTCCTTTTATATTAATAATAATCATTGAATAATACCCGGTTAAATATTAATGGTATTATATCAACATCATCAGCAGCTGGAACAATCTAGGTTATTTATTCGGATTTGAATATTTTCTGAATAGATATTTCTGTTTCTACTGTTTACAGCAATTGAAAACATATTTTCCAAAACAAATTTCACATAATGAAGCTATAAGAATTATTATAAATTTTAAAACAAATATTCTGAGATTGAGTCTATGTTATAAGAGCTGCAGTGATTGAATGTAAAAAAATATATGTAATATAGTTCTCATTTTTAAATTTAAATTACAACACATTTAGACAAAGTCACAAAATTAAATAATTGGTGTCATAACGATGAAACTAGAGACAGTATAGATTTGCATCTACAAAATTGCAATAGTAGCATAACTAGCAAATCTGTATTACAAATTAGAGTATTTGGATTTAATAAATTGAAGAATGGTATAAAATTACAGAAAATTGAATAAAAAAATGTGCAAAACAATAATTATACGAAATTGACACTGTAGTGTTAAGGCTAAATAAATCTTCCACAAACAAAATTGAGACATACTACGTGAGACAAAATAAAGATTCTAAATATATTCACTTTAAGGAGTCAGAAAGACAAATCAATTTCTGATTTCGGTATCGCAAAGAACTACTAGTCATTGATATGGACATCGCTACATTTACACAGGTAGTAGTACGGAGTAGCGGCTATTACTGTTGTAAATAGAATCAATTTACTTAACTCCATTTGTGTGTTTTAGGCTCCTCTCCAGTCCCTCAGTATCTCTAAGTTCTGAACTGGAAACACCAACGTTCTACCAAACATTAGCAGGAGTAACTCATTTGGATGAACAAGACATCTGCGAGTTAGAAAAATGCTTCTGGGCATTACAGAATGCTTCTTCTACCGGCCATTTGGATTTTGCTTGCCTCAAGTCCCTAGTCTGTCCGCCAGTGCCATTGAAGGCTTGCAAAGGGTAAGGCAGCATTTACTGTATTAACGTTTCGGCTGCCCCTGCGGGATTTGTAGTTTGCCTCTAGTGCCTCGTCATTGAATAATTTCCTAGTTTTGATAACTTTCTATTTTCAGATTATTCCTAGCTCTGGATGTTAATAGAGATGAACACATCGACTTTAAGGAACTCTGCTGTGGCATTTCAGCAGCTTGTCGAGGTCCACTTGTAGAAAGGATGAAATGTAAGTTTTGCCTATAAACATTTGAATAGATTCTCTAGATGTATACAGGGTGTTCCTTAATGATATGCGAATATCTAAGGGTGTGAATCTACATGAAAAATTAATGTTAGTTTGCTTTATAAACTATGGTCCAAAAATGTTTCCTTACAAAACTCGGGGTGTTGCAGTTTTAGGAAAAAAATGGAACTTAATTAATATTTTCAGAACCGCTTCAGATATTTCACTGATATTTAGTACTTAGTGAAAGTTAATAAAGTTGCATATTTTTCAATGCAAAAATCATTTTTAGCTTTAACAGTGACGTGGGTACGGGTATTGACTGTGCCCAGAGAAATAAATATCCGCAACACGGTGTATTGCTTGGAATATACCTTATGTTCGGAACATATTTTACATTTTATTGTGCAGATTCTATGAACTCGTTTAAGTTGGACGTAACCTACGGCATCATCACCGTACGATTCATCATAATGACGTATGAGTTTAGTTTTGAATGACTTCTGAAAAGGAAGATTATGTAAGGGTATTACTTATTCTTTCTTTTTATGTCTATCATTATATCATATGCGCACTGTACTTACATAGATGTTCCTCAGCTCAGTAGAGTAGAAATCTGGGTTGAAGGGAAAACGATCACCAACCATCAATGTGTCCATTTTCGGCAAATTTGTGCTTTCGGCTTTTAAGAAACCAACGCCCATGATTGTTTTTCAATAAAAGGGGAACACGGCAACTGTTTACGTTGAATAAGAGTTTTCTAGAAACAAAAAACGAGAGTCCACGAATGACATAAGGATGACGTTTCTTTGTTTACAATTGATATGACGCCACATCATGGTCGATAGTGTTTCCACCGTTTAAAAAAATATTTTTTAAATTGGACATACATATATCCATCTTGCGCTTCTAAAAATCGATATATTTCGTTTTCTTAAACCAAACACTGTAAGAAGTACTGATTTATTCTATGAAATTGGATGTGAATCAAGTAGCTTAGTGCAAAGGAGGCTGATAGGTGATCTTTCCTTGGAATGTTGATGTCAAGTTTAAAAATAAACATTTTTTTTTAAGAAAAGGAAGTATGTTTTTAATAATGTTAAAGAAATTACTGCTATCCTGCTTTTCAACATGACTGTGATGATGGCAATTGTATGTGAACGTCTATGGCATATGCATTGCATTTCTTTCAATAATAGTTGAATAAATAACAATGTATAACAAACATTAGAATAAGAGGTACTTCCCTCTGTGATATTCGTATTAGACTTGATTCCCCAAAAAATCCACCTAATAATGAACACAGAAATACTTCTGAAATGTTGAAAAACACAGCAGACTTTGGCCGATTCGTGCCCAAAAACGTTACGTCATATTCCTAGGTCCTGTTTTACCTTTTTGGATATCATTTGTTTGTATTTATGAAATTGATAAAAATTGATGTATTTCATATTCCATTACCGTTGTTTTTTCCGCAGTCTGCTTCAAAGTCTTCGATATGGACCGCGATTGTTACCTGAACACAGATGAAGTACAGCACATGATGCAAACATTGGTGTTTATCGCTAGCGAGAACAAACTAACTTACTCCTCGCACATATTTCAAGAAACCGCTAAAAAAGCTGAAGAACTCACGGAACGTCTTCAGGATCATACAGGCGGTAGTACCAAGAAGCAATCCATAACGTGGGACAGTTTGAAGGAAAAGTTGGATGAAAGGGTAAGAAAAAATGTCTGCGTTATTCGCAAGAGTCACCAATACGGGAAGGGTTATTCCAAACTGGACAGTTGATAACGAGTAATGCAAAGTGAGGTTCTTTTATTTTTGACAGCAAGCAAATACAACGAATGGCTGGTAATCTTTACATTGAGGGTCCTACTATATCTTTGATCATATTAGCTATGACATCAAGAATTTACAGATTTAAAATTTTCTGACGTGTTTATATTTCTTGTTCTAGGGAGGTTTAACACAAGAAGATTATTTAGTGTGGAGTGTGGAGAACAATGGTCTTGTTGCTCCTTTATTGGAGTTATTATTTCAAGTGTGTCATGTCTCACTGGGTCTGAGACCTCACTGCAGGCATAATGAATATGAAATCGGTAAGCATATTCAAGTTGAATCGCTGAAAAATACACTCGATTTGAATTGTTCACACTCATTAACACTAAGATACATTCAATATTCAGACTGAACATGCAATGTTTTGAAATACATAATCCAAAAAATGAATACAAAGGTCTTATGGTGAAATTTGTCATACGACTCCATAAGGAAAGTGACCAGTGTATTCAATTCTATCTAGCTTTTTTCAAAGTATAACGGTATATCTTTCAGATAAGCATTTTGTTTGTCGTGATTTTTGTTGCTCTTTGATTACCGTTAATGCTTGTTTCACACTAAATAGACCAAATCATGTCAGAATGGATGCTGAACGATTGCCAAGAACGACATAGATTGTCGAAAATATATGCGGCATCACTGGCCAGTGGCACGGATTGCTGGAGCGCAGAGTAGTCATATTTGTCCCATCGTGTTCAATTTGCTTCCAGGCGGCGAATCTTAAAACAAAGTTTATCATTTCCTTGTTAGGAATGTTGTTCCTTGGTCAATATTTTGATGAATAGTAGGAGAAAAAATGTAAGAATCTCGCCGTCAACATTCAGTGTCATTTCAAAAGAAGATAATTTTGTGATGAAAGACTTAGTGATATGAAAAACCTAGGAACATCTATTATTTTGAGGAAAAGTAGTAGCATTTTCTATGTATGACTCCATGACTTTGCGGCTATCTAAACTGAGATGATAATACTTTTCTTGAATATATTTCAATTAATTCTAGTGATGGGTTGGTTGGACCGCGAGGAACGTCGCGGCTACCACGTGGGTCAGTTCTGGTACCTGGTATCATCCGAATGGTGGCAACAGTGGTTAGCGTACACGTCTGCCCCTAGGTCAAACGGAGACTTCTGCAGTTGTAGAGCTGAAACAAGGCCACAACAAGTTGAAGAGGGAATCGTTTGTGATGAGAGTCTCATCTCTAATGCGACGGACTGCACCTCAACCTCCAATGATTTCAATTCTAATAGTATGGAGAGTATGGGGGATCTTCTCAGCAAAGGAGACAGGTAATACTTTTTTAGTAATAATCAGTTTTTGATGTTTTCAGTAAGATTAATAACTTCCCTTTGAAGTCTCTAGATTAAATACTTCAAGAGACAGATATTTTTAAATCAAAATGTTTGCTTTCCGTCAGTGCGTACGGCTGTTTAAAAAACTTAAAATTCTGTGCGGATGTAGGATTGACGATCTCCATAGTTTGCGAAGATGATCTTCATTATCGTTCCAGACGATGAAGGATGACGGGAAACCCCTACGGCTCATAAATTTTGAGTTTGAGGACTTTGGTATCAAATTTTTAAAACTCTAAAAATAGTAAAATTATTTATGCGATGCGAGTTCTTCTATTGAAATAATTTTGTCAGTTGCAGCATTGCATCCAGCTCTGGGGTGTCAAGTAGTTCTGGAACTGGACCTAAACGCAGTTTTGGTCAACCTGGTCCCATTGACAATTCAAACCTGGTAGCAGAGCCCATGTGTAAAGTACCAACGCTCACCGGAGAAGGCAAGTATTTTTTCATTTTTATTTTGTATTCTTTACCTTAACGGAATATTACATGAGATTTAGTGAGTATACCTTACTGTGCACGTGGCTATGGTGGAAACATGCATACGAGGGATGTCTTTTAAGTTTTGCATATAGAAACATAGTAGGCCGCGCGGATCGAACGTCAGTACTGAATCTTGACCTCACTCTTTAGTAAACTTAAATTCAAAGTTTCACAACAATACGTGCAGTGTTCTCCCTTCAGTGAATTAAGTATCACCAAGTCATTAGAAAAATGGAACTCAACCGAGAACATTTTCGCGCCATAATTTATTACAACTTTCAGAGACAATTATTGCAACAAGAATGCCTTGCTGAGTTACTGCCTGTGTTCGGCAACGAAGCGCCACATCAGTCGACAATTTCCCGTTGGTATGGAGAATTCAAACGTGGACGGGTGAGTCGTAGCGACGATTCCAGGGTGGGTGCACCAAAAACGGCAGTCACCCAGGAAAACGTCGATGCTGTGCGCAAACTCATCATTGAAGATAGACATATGACATATCGCGAGATTGAGGCGTCGTTGAAGATCTCAAAGACCTCAATTCAAAAAATTTTACATGAAGAATTAGGAGTAAGAAAATTAGTTTCTCGTTGGATACCCCACCTGTTGACTGAAGAGCAAAAAGCAGCCAGGGTTAATTGGTGTCAAAAAACGCTTGTCCGTTTCAATTCCGGAAACTCAAAAAATGTGTACAGCATTGTTAGTGGTGATGAATCGTGGATTTACTGTTATGAACCAGAAAATAAACGACAGTCGGCAGTTTGGGTGTTCCAAGGTGAAGAAAAGCCAACAAAAGTAATCCGTTCTCGAAGTGTTTCGAAAAAGATGGTCGCGACATATTGCAACAATTCCTCTTAATGAGCAAAGAACTGTAACTGCGGATTGGTATACCACCATTTGTTTGCCAAAAGTCATCACCGAGCTTCGAAAAATCAACCCCGAAAGAAGAATCATCCTCCACCAAGACAATGCAAGCTCGCACACAGCCCAAAAAACAACGCAGTATTTAACGGAAGAAAACGTGGAATTATTGGACCATCCTCCATATAGTACCGATCTAAGTAATAACGATTTCGACTGCGTGGTCAAAGGTTCCAGTCACCAGGAGAAGCAGTTGACGCATTCAAAAATGCCGTTTTGGATCTTCCAGCAAACGAGAGGAATAAGTGCTTCGAAATTGGTTCGAGCGCATGCAGATGTGTGTTAATCTTTGTGGAGAATACTTCGAAAAACAATATAGTCATTTAAAACTACCTACCGTGTTGTTTTATTTCCATATGCAAAACTTAAAAGACATCCCTCGTATCCGCAACAAAGCCCTTTGCTTAATGGAGAATATATACTAGGTCTCAGTCGTCAGCCTGAGACTAAAGTCGGTGGGCCGCATACAGGGTAGGGTGAGTTTTTAGTGTCGGGTCGGTCGATAACTCCGTTATTATGCATGGTATCTAAAAAGTTATGTATACGAGTACTCCTTACGTGGACTGACACAAACATACATTTTAAAATTGAAAGACCTACATTTTATTGCACATTTCTATAGGCTCCTTCAAATCAAGCAATTTAATACAACATAGGGATTTATTTCTAAATTGTTGTACTATCGAAAAAAAAACACACAACTTTGACAACTGGCACCTCCGCTGTTCTATTCTATGATCCCGAACTTTCTTTTAATTCACTTAGTTTTTACGATGTACTATATATTATAAAATGAACGATTTCCAAACATTTTCAAATGGAATACCCTGTAGATGTTCACACCTTTTGCGAATCTCTTTAGCGTTACAGCTCGCCGTTCGGCCCCATCCAGGCTCTGTCGGTTTTTCAGCGCAACATCAAAGGCTTGCGACGAAGTTGCACATATTTGGAGAGGTATACCGGTGCGGCGAGCAATATGTTATTTTGTAATGTACGAGTACTTAGAAGTAAAAGAATTATTTTTCTTACTTGTAAATTTTCCTTTAAAACTTCGATCAAGTCCTCACAAACTTCTGGAATGATGTAGCTGATCGATTGCTTTGAAATTCGAAACATGTATGGCAAACTACTATCTGAATCACCGATCGCTAAAAATCGCACCGTGACTGCTAGTCTTTCTTGCACTGTGATGGCAGCGTATTTTTGATCCAATCAACGTGAGAAGATATTCAAAATCCGTCGGAGACATCCTCGTAAAATTTTTGTACTGTCCACTTACTTGTTGAAATTCCAATTCCGCTGAACGACAAACAACAAAATTGGATCATTTTGTTGCGCGATGTGGTTGCACGACTTCGTTCGGTTTGTGGTGATGTTCGTTGCAATGTTGTTCGTCAAAATGCGCGCGCTGCGGTTCGTCGCGTGGTTCGGTTCGTGGTATTGTTACATATCTGTACATGGCTTTAATGGACTCAGCCACTCATCGCAACGTTTAAATTTCAGTCTAATTTTATTGGACAGTTTCTTGATTTTGAATATTGTTTGGACAGGTGGTCGTCTGAAAAGAGATACACCATTGGTTCAGCGACGAGATTTCGAACTATTACCCGACTCTCTTTGGAAAGCATTATCCATGTGGTACGGCGGACCCTTGCCCCTACCACGCCAAGTTATCAAGCCACCTGGACGGTCAGAAGTAGAACTAGAGCTCTACCCACTCAATCTGAAGATATTGAGGCATCAAACGCAACAGAGTGTTAATAATACTGCATCGTGGAGCAGTGTGGTAGGCGGGTAAGTGATAGAAACATGAACACGTCTAGGAATATTCCCCAAATATGAGCATACCGAACACCGGCGGATATTTCATCAATATTACTCATTATTGTATTATTTCACAGTTATGGTGCAGCAGCATTAAGCACAGCAGGGTTCACATCCTCAGTTACAGCAGGAACTAGAAGATATTTAGCTCATACAGCTGCATTTTCGCGCTTAGCTACGGTTCAGCAGGTGACGGATTTTCTGTGTCATCGATTAGCACTCAGGTACGTAGAAAAAGTGTCATATCGAATCAGGGTGTTAACAATGTACCTGGCCAAACTTCGAGAGGTGATTTCTTGAAATATTCCGGATAAAAGGTTCATTTAAACATTGGTCTGACAACGTACCATTACCGCGTCCGCTATGAAGTACATAAAGAGACTTTGTTCGTCCGTTCTAGGTTACTAGTACTGGAACTGGCTTTTTCAGGTAGATTGTTCCACAATCTCTATACCCAAGGGACAAGGGAGCGGTCGTATCGGTCAGCTCTGTATGCACGAAGTTGAACACGGTTACGGTGGGATGACGAAGTTAGGAGGGTCTGACTAGCAGGCACATCGCGCATTGACGAGATGTATTCATGCCAGATCAAGTCATCGGTGATCTGGATTCGGACCAGCCGAATTGAACGGCTTTTTGGCAGGACTTGGCCATCCATCGAAACCGGATGAATGCTAGGGCGCTTCTTATTAGTCAAGGTACAGTACTGTGTTTTGGAAGCACTAAACTGTACCAGATTGTTGCGTCCCCAGTCAGTGATAATCCCCAGGCCTCTCGTCAAGAGAGGAAGTCGCTGCTAGTCTTCTTTTCTCCAACTCACCAGCAGAAATCGGCTGGTCACTCTGAATTCCTGCATGTAGATTGTTATCAGCCAAACTGAGAATCGGATTGATAGTACAGGAAAGGAGGTCGTTGATATTTAAGAAGAATAATGTTGGAGCCAAGACTGATCCCTGGGGGAATACCCGCGTTGACATTATGAGACAAAGAGGAGGATCCGTCAGCCATCCATCTACAAAGTTCTCTGGGAGACCATAGAATCTAAGTTTGCATAAGAGGGCAGCATGCCACAGCTGATCGAAAACTGTCGTGATCGCTGGTGCTGGAAACCATATTTTCTACCGCTAAACAAGCCTTACCGTTCAAGGTACTCCAAAAGCTCCCGATTTATGCACCTCTCCATCACGTTACTTATAACAGAAAGCAGGCCTGTAGCTGTAAGGGTCGGTCTTAGATCCTTTTTGGGATAAGTTGGACATGCCCAAATGAAACTGCCAGATAGAAGATATTTGGAAGAAATGTATAAGCTCCGCGACATCTCCTCAGTACAACGCCAGGAACCAAGTCCGGATGAGAAGCTTTGTTGATATCGATATCTTATGCCTGAACCCTTTCAATCGACGGCATTCGGGCATTGGCGGGACGTCCATGGTGGAGATGGTAGCAAAGATCTTGGCAAGCACTTCAGCCTCAGCATTTGAGTCGGTTCCATCGTGGCAGGTAAGCGGTGGAAGGCTAATCTTTGAGAAGTTTCCTTCAATCTGCTCGGCCAGCGTCCAGAAAGACCGACTGCCATTGTGCTGGTCTTTGGCATTGCGAACCGCTTCGTGTATTTGTTTCTGGGCTCGACGTCGGCTGGTCTGTTCTCTACAGTGGGATTTTGTGAGAAGATTCTGTGAGCCTTGATCTGCCGACGAGCTGGGTCGCACGATTTGTCGTTGGACCCTGGTTTAGACACTGTATGAGAGATGCATTCCTGGATATTTATTGAAAAATTCCAGAGGATTTGAAAAGGTTTTAAGTTTAATTCGAATGGTCTTTGAGAAGTAATAAAGTATTACTTTTAGCTTTGATCATGTACTTTATAAATTTAGATCGGACGATGCTCGATTGTGGCTGCTTCGAGAACAACACCCCTCAAGTCTGTTGGACGATGACAACGCGACCTTGCAGGACTTAGGCGTAGTAGATGGAGACCAGATACTACTAGAAGTTAGGAACAAGGATCTCACTTGGCCGGAGGAATTGGGACAGTTGGTCGCTAGCGGTGGACATGATTCCAGCCTCAGTGTTGAAAGGCGGCCTACGATATGTTTGCCACCTGGTGGGTATTTACACAATTATTCATTTGTTAAGGGAGAATGGGCATTTTGGTTCTCAAAATTTTTGTCGAAAAATAATGTGTATTTTAGCCGTGTTTTCAACGTATATTTATTTTATTTGTTGGTTTTTTGTGTATGTATTTATCTGGTTTTAACGTGTAACATGTTTTGAAAAAAAAACATGTGTTTAAAACACAGCAAACTATATGCACAGCCAAACAAAGAAACCAAATACAAAAGTGGGACAGTAAAATTAATAAACATTTAAAGCATATCATAATATTTTTTCTTTGAGCTGTAGAATGCATTTCCTAGTAAGTAATCTTGGAGATTCCCCTGGAAAACGTCAATATATGATAATTTCACATTTTTAGGCAGTAGATTAAAAAATGTGTGCCAACGCTAGGTTTTTCAACTTATTGAGGCAAATGTTTCTACTTCGTGTGCGTTTCTTCCAGGTGCGACCGGCTTACACAACCTAGGCAACACCTGCTTCATGAACGCCGCTTTACAAGCTGTTTCGAACACGCGACCGTTGACCCTATACTTCCAACGGGACCAGCAACTCACAGAGTTGAACGCAGCGAACCCGTTAGGAACGAGAGGCGTGGTTGCCAGGCGGTACGCTGAGTTGTGTAGGGAGTTGTGGGCGGGCCGGACGAGGAGCGTTGCGCCAATCAAAATGAGGTGCTGCGTCGTGAAGCATGCCCCTCATTTAGGGGGTGGGGGACAACATGACTCCCAGGTGAGTGAAAAGAGGAGTCTAGTGATATTCTAGGCTCGGTAGATGAAAATCCTCAAAATGTTTTGTTACATACAGAACAGTATCTTCACCAGATTACAACCGTTCTTTTATTTGTTTTGAGAAAATATTATCGCATCGCAGCGATATGCAGAATTATTAGAAACAGAAATCTTATTTTTGGCATTATATCAGAAGGAATTCCCAGACTGTGGTGGTTTTCTATGTCCACCAACATGTCCGTATCCTGATATAAATTACACATTAGGTTTTCTTATAATTTTTAGGAGCTGTTAGCTTGGCTTTTGGATGTCCTTCACGAAGACCTAAACAGGGTTGCAAAAAAGCAATACATAGAACTAAAAGACAGTGGTGGGAGACCAGACGAAATAGTAGCCGAAGAAGCCTGGCAACATCATCTTAACAGGGACCACTCAATTATTACAGATCTGTTTTATGGCCAGCTTAAGAGCAAGGTACATTTTTTATATTGTTTGATTTTTCAATTATCTGTCTGTCTATAACACCAGGAAACTGAAGATTGGTCTCGTCAGAACGGGAACTGTATGCGGAGAATATTTATGCTCTTATGCTTGAGGTCGAGGCCCAGCCCCGAACAATACCACATTTCGAATAGAAACATTCCACGAATATATCTGATACTATTCTTGTTACGAGCATATCGTTTGTTTACGTAGTCTCTTTTAAATTATCATATTTTCTTTTCTAGGTAACTTGCCAGACCTGCGGTCACGAATCTGTTAGATTCGATCCTTTTAACCTACTCAGCTTGCCATTGCCTATGGAAAGTTATACGTTATGTGAAGTATTAGGTAAATAGCTCATAACTTAGTATTGATCGTATTGATACTCCAACTTCCGTTTTTCTATTTTTTGATAGTAGACCTGCAGATATAGAAAATTACCTATTTGTTTCTTAAAATAGGCGCGTAATAAAATTACTGTGCACTTTGTCAGTGGTTGTGGGCATCAAATGACATCAACCCTAAATTCGCAAGATATTGAGGTTGGGAAAAAATTGCATTTCAATTTGGCAGTTGATACTAAATTAGATCATGAATCTTCTGCATATTGCCATAAAAGCTAGGCTTCTGTTTTCATAGTTATAAAGACGTTCTTCGTATAACCAGTCAGTTGTCACCTAGCTGATTAGCTTTTAGGGACCTCTGCGTGAGATTACACGATTTACCGTAGTATCAAATGAAAATTGTCAGTTTGAAATTCCCGAACATCAACACCCAGTAAACCCCGCCTTAAGCCCTATAGATCCCTGCATTCACCCATTGGATTGTCGAGATTTTTATCTTGTTTTTCTATTAGTGGTGCGGTTGAACGGAGAGGTACCTGTGAAGTACGGCATGCGGCTGAACTCTGAAGCAAAGTACCTAGAGCTAAAAGAGCAACTGTATGAACTATGCGGGGTACGACCTGACCGTCTGCTATTGGCCGAGGTAGCATGTTGTCAAGTGCGTTGTTTACTGGACGATGAAGCAAAGATCAACCCTGCTACCGCCACAGAGATATTTGCTTACGAGGTGCCTGATATTGGAGAGGTGGTACCTAAAGCAGAGATCGACATCGATACAGGTTCGTTTGTTGGCTTATGAGGTATAGTTTTTTCCACAATAACCCAATCCAAAGCATGTCACTACTATGGTGTGGAGACAACTCCCATAAACAATGGCCAAAAAGTCGGCATTTCAACATGCTTTGGAGCATGCGCATAGTGGTTCGAGTTAGGCCATTGCTCAACAATTTTAAACATTTCAACAGTTCCTCTGTAAGATAATCAAGAATTTCCTTTTATCTTCATTTGTCGATATTCTATATTTCTGAGGTTAAATATTTCCAGAATTAGCAGAACCATTACAAGTACTCAAATTTATATGTTTCCTTATATTGTCTTCAATGTGTTCTAACTAGCGAAATTCTCTCATTTTTCAGAAAAAATACTGTAATTATTACTATGTAGATATTTGTTTAAGGACCCGATTTCACCTACTTTCCTAAATAAGTTTACTTTCAAAGCTGAGGCATATTTTGGTCTCATTTAAATAAGAATTGTCTCCATCATTGTTCATTGTGTTTCCTAAATATAGGGCAAACATTTCATTTAACAGTTGATTAACCTCTTTATCGTGTTTGAAAGATAGTAATTGAGATCATCCTCCATCTTTGTCTGGCCAATGAAACCACATATATATGAAATTCTTCTTTAATGTATCTGTGTGTCTATCCTAATGACACTTTTTAGATGTACTGAAGAAGGAAAGTGTTGTGACCGAAACGCATTCTACATTATAGAATTCACTGGCCAGATAAACATGGAACATTATTGACATGAAAACCTCAGAATAAGTTTAAGATATTTCAAAGTAATTGAGCTCGCAGTGTTCTAAAGAACATATTGAAAAAACTCCAGGAGAGCCTTTTCGTCCAAAATCGATATGGCTTTGAGAAAACGACAGTCATTTTTGAAACTAGTGTACAAAGTATGCAAGATGGAAAGGTTTAAGCAACCCATGCGGAGAATTTTTAGATCCATATTTATATGGCCTTTTCCATGTTCCTTGAATGTTTATCACATGCTTAGGAAATCCATTGTAGATTGGTTTTTATTTAGGAAAGTGTATGATGCGTGGAACTGGGTCTTAAGGTACCGTAACGTAACCAATGTTTTTCTGTTTGTTTTCTGATAGAGTTGGAGATGTGCGAAAGTCCACTGGCGCGCAGTCCCGAGGTAAGCGCTGGTTCGGCCCTATGCATGCCCAACATTCTGTGCTTCAAGGTATGCACGTACTTACGCTACAGTGGCGCAGCGATACTATCACAGAACACGGAAATCTGCATTCGCTAATATTTCTCATAACTATTCGTTTAATTCAGTCATTCCCTTTTTGCTGAGTTTTCACAAGCTAGCCAATTTGGTACTTTTTAAATACACAGATAATTAGACTATATTGGGATCTTGTGTCTTGGAACCAAAAGGTGTCATCCAGGAACCCTGTTATTGAATACGAAAAAGTAGGGTAACTGTACACTAATAGAAGAATCGCTCAAGTAAACCACGGCACTTCCTACGCAACGCTGTCATCAGTTCATAAATGATTAAGTTCAGCGAAAGTGAACTCCAGAAAAAAGTATGTTACGAAAAATTCAGAAATTAGACGGATTAAGACTATCAAACAGGTCCATACAATTAGTCCATACACATTCTTTCCCTGCCCTACCAGTATTTACTGTCGGCAGCGCACAGCACAGTGTATATGTGTTTGCTCTGCAGTACGGATAGATTAGTCAGCCGGACCGGCTCGCCTGGCGGTGAGCTTAGCAGAAGTAAGCGGATCGAAAACATTTCTACCTTATTATATTTTAAACTTTTCATATGTCTTGTATCGGTCTATTTCTAAAGTCGAAGTTGCGATGAAACGTTTAATTACGCGTACAACTTACGAACTACTATACTAAGTGACATATAAATCCGAACACCCAGTTTAAATGGTTTTATTTTAATAAAATTTTGTATAAGTACTTAATGAAGCATAATAAGTAAATGATAAAAATTTCAAAATGATTGCACTGCTTTAAAGCCCTTTGACCTTTAATAATGTGTGGATGCACCCTAATGTTCTACGCATTCTCCAACGCGCCTAGGCATGCTTCTGATCAGCTGGTCAATGTCCTCCTGTGGTATCTCATTCCAGGCAACCACCAACTCCTCTCGAAGTGCTTCTAGAGTCTGAGGAGGACGTTGCAAATTGAGCAATCTCCTACCCATCATATCCCACACGTGCTCAATTGGGGATAAGTCGGGAGATCTTGGTGGCCATGGTAACAATGTGACATCATTATGTTGAAAGAAGTCTATTGTGACTCTTGCAACATGTGGTCGGGCATTATCTTGTTGGAAAGTTGGATCTGCCAGGGTGTCAAGATAGGGTAAAAGATGGGGTTCTAGAACTTCGTGGATATAACGCTGCGCGTTCATATTACCTCTGATGAAGATTAAAGGTGACCTGGAACCATAAGCTATAGCACCCCAAACCATAACTCCAACAGTGTGATGAACATGTCTTTCAACAAAAAACTGTGGATTCCTCCTTTCACCACGTCGCCTTCTAACCCTGGCACGACCATCGTGCATGCCTAAACAAAATCGAGACTCGTCACTAAAGACAATACTGTTCCATTCCTGATCCCAGAGTGACCGTTGTCTGCACCACTCAAGGCGATTACGTCGGTATTCTCGAGTTAAAGGGAGGACCCAGTGTGGCCGGTATGAAAACAAGCCAAAACTTCTCATTCGTCGGTAAACACTTCGCATGCCAATAGGTCTTCCGTATTCTGCAAACCATTCATTTGCAATGGACCTGGTAGTGGAGAAACGGTCCCTTAAGGCCAATAATCTTAGGCGGCGATCTTCACGGTCTGTTGTTCTACGGCGGCGTCCAGTGCCCCTTGCTCTTTGCGTACGGCCTTCTCGAAGCCATGCCTGACAACACCTAACCACAGTGTCTACACTTCTTTGCACTCTAACTGCAATTGCCCGAAAAGAAAGTCCAGCTTCCCGAAGTCCCACTATACGGCCCCTATCAAACTCACTAAGTTGACGCAATCGTACAGGTCTCCGTACTCTAGGCATCGTAACCGATCGTAAAGGATGTCAAGAACCAAAATCCGCCAACGTTGATTCTTTACTGCGGCTGAAATATTCATTTTAAGAGCGTTAGTGAATTAAAAAAAAGCAGTATAAAAACCGGAATGTCCAACTGATAAGGCTGAACATTTTTTCACTTGTTATTTACAGTAAGATAAATACATTCACCAACTTTTATTAAAATAAAACCATTTAAACTGGGTGTTCGGATTTATATATCACTTAGTATATTTTGCCGAATATGGATAGTTCACAAACTTGTTCGATAAACGTCAACAGCCATCAGACTTTGGGATCATTCCCCAGGGTAGAGAACCACGCCCATTTGTTTTTCAGTGATTCTACTTCCTCAGTTTCAAGAATAAGGGTCCTGGACGAAGAAGGTCAGTCTTGGCAAAAGTGATCACTAGGAGAATAACGACAGAATATATTTTCGTTTCTCACGATTCACTAGATTACGCATGATGCAACGTCACTGAGGTATAATGTGTATGAATTTGAACATATTAGTCGGCATTTACTGTTATAATGTACAAAGAAAAAACTGATTACTCGGATTTATTAAAATCATGGTATTAAAAAAATAAATTGACAATGTGCTAGATTTTATTTTCGGGTTTTATCAGTTTTTGATTATTGCCGGGATTACTAAAGCCACAGTGTTAAGAATCCAAGATAATAATACATTTTCGTGTTCTGTGATTTAGGCAGGCCCTTGTTGGTCGTTATATTACTTCTTTTTACAGAGTGCTAACGAGTGTGCAAAATGGCCTTACCACAATTTTTTAGGCTAATATTGCTACATTTTTTAGTTATAGAAACATTCTAGGTTATAACTGAGAAAGTCTTATTAATAATGATGCTAGAATTCCTGAACTTAGCTAGTTTGCTGTTAATCTCTTATTTTTTGTTTTAAATCCCCTGTAGTTGTTTTATCTCGTGAATTAAAAAAAAACTTGCATTATTCAATATCTAATTTAGCATTTTTTACTTATTACTTATTATTTTGCAAGCATACAGTTTTTGCTAATTCTAAATTTTGTGGCGTTGTTAGTAGTAGATTCATGTATATACACGTAGTGTGTTGTTTTGTAGATTATGTTTATTGTTGATGTAGATAAATTGTTCTATTTATAGTATTCTTTGTTGTTGATTTTAATCTGCAACAAAAATTAAAAATTTTGTAGTTATAGCTTTCAATTAATATCATTTGTTAACGTTTATATATGCTATATGTATAAACTGTTGCTTGATTCCAGAACGTAAAGAAATCTGTAACAGACAGGCCCAGAATTTCTTACAATAAGAAACCATCAATATCTACGCATTCCAACGCATCGACAGCATCAGGTAAATACTCCCAAGCTTTTTAAGTTGAGAATGTTTTGATGGGAAACACCGCTACATCACAAATGACTCATATACAACCATTTCAGCTACATCCGACACCCTAACTCAAAAGCCGCCGCCATATTTGGTAGCCGTTCACCGGAAGTGCGTCCGACAAGAGACGTACTTCCTGTCACAGCAGAAGAGCAGACCGAGCCTATTTGGTATGCCCATCCTGCTAGGTTTCAATGAAAACAGTACTTGTCAGAGCCTATACGAAGCCGTTTGGAGCCAGGTGACCAGGCTGCTTAGCCCTATGCCACAGAGCGATCAGACCAACCATGCTACTGATTGGTGAGTTATTATGTTTTTTTATATAAAACGTTTAGCATACAAATACAGATAAAAAAATAAGGTACGTAAGCAGACATACAAAACTTGAATTTGTTCCCCATGCAGCCACACTGGAATATGACAAACTACGATTTTTGATCAGCTTTTTTGGACGTAAAGTTGCTTCTGTTTTCAATTCCGACGTGAAAATGGGAGTTCCATTTGAAAATATTAACTTGACCTTAAAATGACCTTGAAGTTCGTAGTCAAGGTCATCATCATTCTGCCTCCTCGAAAGCTTATACCTTTTGTTTGAAACTTTTTCATCTGGAATTAGCACTTTTCGAAATACTTAGGTGGAAAGATGAATTGGGAGACACCGTGTAGAGGTAGTAAACTTGACTCATTTTTTTTGTAGTGACGATTCGCTGAAGTACGAGTTCCCATTCACCCTGAAGGCCGTACTGCAAGGCGGTCAAATCTGCGCCGTCTGCCATTGGACCAAATTCTGCCGGGGCTGCGTCCTCCCATGCGGCGACCAGAGGGTGATAGACTGGTGCGGGGGCACGCGGTCCCCCGGCATGATGATCTCCATTGATTGGGACCCTACGGCGCTCCATTTGCGATACCAGAGCAATAGGGAAAAGGTAAGATAGTTGCACTTTCCAACTTTAAAGAAAACGTTTTTCAGAAACTTGTTCAAATAGACTCTAATGTGTGCGTTAAATTGATGCGCACGTTGTAGTGTCACATTGATCAAATTGGAGCACCTCACGTATTTAGAGATCCAGTTGTTTAGGCTAATCAAAACGCATGGCTTTGTCTCCAACGTTTCACTTTACCGCATTAATTAAGTTGCGCAAACTTATGCTGTATTTGGACTTCACATGCAATCTCCATCATCACAGACATATCACTGAGTGCTTTGAACGAAAATTGTTTATTCTTAAACAAAATCGTTCAAGCGAAATCCACCCCTCAACCCCCTCGTAATTATTAAGATTTCGTACTCTCCGAATTCCTCAACGACGGAAAAGGAAGTACCAAAACCTGCGGTTACAGTAAATCAGTGGAGTAAAAAATGAAAACACTTCGTATTCATCAAGGAAACCGGGAACTCGTATTAATGTGGCACATTTTTTTTCAATAGTATGAAGGAGAGTTTTTGATACTTTTCGTCTGTTTGTTTCATGGTGTTTATAGGGATCACTGAAAAACAATTTTGGCAAAAAATGTATTTTTATGCATCATAACTCGCTAACAAATAATGCAGCTCTGAAATTCCACATTCCTAGTATAATAGTGTAATTGCTTTTTTATCATTGTTTTCTTCAAAAAATGATAAGAAATTCAAATCCAGAGCTTTACGGTTATTTGTTAAGAATGCATGTCTTAACAAAAACGTGAACATGTTTATAAGTCATCTCTGCATATACCATGAAACAATCAGATGAAAAGTATTGAGATGCACGACCCCAATAAGAACTTTTTTCTTATACGTGTAGAATCTGCCCTTAAATTTTCTTGATATTCCATATAAAATGCATTTTGCTACATGCTGATTCATTTGCAGTTATGGATAGAGCATGAATCTGTAGCAATCTGTAGGAGACTTCATACGGAACCGATAGATTTGGATTACTGCTTGAAAGCCTTTACGTCAGAAGAACGCTTGGAGGCAAAATACCATTGCAGCAACTGTCAAGACAAGCAGCCAGCTACCAAGAAACTGCAGATTTGGAGACTACCTCCCTTATTGGTAAGCTATACAGGATATGGAGTATTTCTGGCTTCTTACGTCACTGGGCGAGGAAGTATTGTAATCGTTTGAAATGAGATATTATGTTCTTTTTATATGACGTGCACATCACAAAAACCATGTCGCCCATTCCGTCGATCTGTCTGTCCGCTAATCCTTCCCAAGATTTCTACTATGCCGAGGATAAAAAGCATTGTAGTTTTTGAAAATCTGTCCGGTCGCGGCGGAGGGCAATTCAAAAAACGAAAAAAAAAAACGTTTTAGGATAAATTTTTGATGTTTGTACATTAATCTGCTTCAAACCCCTGTAATTCTAAGCACCTATCAGACATGTTTCGCACATCATAGATTTCCCCTTACATTTGCCCTTAAAGCTTAGAGAAATATTTACAGACACTTTTCGTGTGCCTGTCGCGGGGCGCGGGACTTCTTCCTTCGTGCATCAAGCTCTGCGTATGACTGCATCGCTGTCGGTCGCGATCGAGTTATAGCAGCGAGAAAAAACATGTAGCCGGTGATGCTCATACGAGGTGGGCGCGATATCATATATATTTACTAGCATTACGCTTGGAGTGTAACTTTATGAAATTACTTGATTTCGTGAGGTTTGTATAGTGTATAAGTACGTATAAAGAGGTATCAAACATTCTTGACAAATAGCTTTACACCAGATCTAAAAAAAATGAGGCTAGTACGGACACGCTCATTGCTGCAATCTGAGGAAATTTTATTTCACGAAAAGCCCAAATAGTGTCACAGAACTTTTTGATGCCATTATACTTCATGGAAAATTGTACTAGATGTTGTTTCTAAGGTGTGGGCAGTATAATGTCAATCTACTTGACGCCATTTTGTAGCAGTTAATGTTTTTGTATCTTTTCTTTCCTTCTCCAGGAATATAAACAAAATTCCACTCCAACTATATGTAGCCATAAACAACAAACCCTTCAACGATTTTATACATTTTTGTCTTACTAGTCTATGTATTTCAATCTATTACAGATTATACATCTGAAGCGGTTCGATTTCGTCAATACGAAGTGGGTAAAAACTCAGAAAGTGGTGAACTTTCCCTTCAAAGACTTTGATCCCACAGCTTATTTGGCGTCTGTACCACAGGAAACCATTCTTAGGCACAAACAGCTCATTGAGCAGAAAAATGAAGAATTGGAGAAGTCTGTTGACAGTCAGCCCGAGAGAATACTCGAGGAATCGTGAGTATTTTACGATTTGTCAAGAAAATGAAAACCCAATAATTCGAGGTAGAACAACGCATATGCAAAACGTTTAATGGTGTACGAAAGTCTTCGATTTGATCACCTGTCCGCATTCCATAGCCACCTCTTAGGGACCCTTCTCATCGAATCCAACTGATAATGCGGTTTTTCTGCCAATAACATAAATAGTCTCTTTATATTCCACCCTATTAGTAACTTATATCCAATACTTAGTCTCTTTATATTCCACCCTATTAGTAACTTATAGCTAGTGGTTCATTTATGAACTGAAAATAATACTGCCTGTTGCAAACGCGAATGCAATGAATCCGAGAGTCGAAAACAGGTTGAAATTGGGTGGCCGTGGGATTAGTTTTGGTGAAAACAGAGTATCTTAGTCGCATCACTGTATCCCCATAGACAACGTAGGTACCTTTGAACCTTGTGTTTCTATTATTAAACTGATACAATATTTTACAGTGATATGAATGGTGACATTCCCAGTAGAAATGACACCACTGCTGTTAAAGACGAGGTAGACAACTGGCGACTGTCGAATGATAGTGAACTAAGGAAGATTGAGGTTAAAAAACCGACTGAACGTGCGAACAAAGGTAGAGCAAGGTTAGAGTCAACTAGTCTCTTGAAGACACCCATCATAGACGAGCATCTCAAAGATTACCATGAACATAAACTGTTGCCTGGACAGGACCCATTTGATCTGAAGTATCAGCTCTACGCTGTCGTGGTAAGATATCTCATGTATATAAAATAAAATATAACTTGAGACGTGGTCATTGTCGTCTAAACCAGTTAGGTGAAAAATTAAAGCTTCCGCCTTTTGTTGGGTACTTCGACAAAATTTAAGCAAAGAGGACTCTTTATACTTTTTTAATTCTCTCTAGCTTTCAATGGACTTTGCCAACATCATCAGGAGCTGCAATTACAATGATAACAGTAGCAAATTAGTTCCATCTTTCAACACAGACATTGACAACCTTCGGCCTTCTGTCAAAGGTTCATCTCACTCATTACCATGACCACCATTTTGTGCAATCAAGTGGCTTCACGACGTAATGCTCTAATGTTTTCTAAATAATTTTTTATCTGTCTTTAACTTGTCTTGTCATATTTTATATAATTTTAACCATTGTACCATGTATCCAGCTCTCACCATGTTACTGGACGTTTCCCTCATCCTATACGAAAACAACAATTAGCAACATCCTCACATACGTAAGTTGATTCAATTTAAATTCATTTTACACTTTTGTTGCTACTGGTATCATTGTAATTGCAGCTCCTGATGATGATGGCAAAGTCCATTGAAAGCTAGAGAGAATTAAAAAAAGTATAAAGAGTCCTCTTTGCTTAAATTTTGTCGAAGTACCCAACAAAAGGCGGAAGCTTTAATTTTTCACCTAAAATAAAATATATAACATAACCTGAGTAGGAAACTTTTATAGCGGAAAATTATCAGATAATTGTAGCAAAAAAAAATATACTTCTACGATGGAACAGCAGAAGTAATAGCTTTCATGGCATTTATGGTTTTTTACAGGATGATTTACAAGTCGTGACCAAAAATGAAACATCATACACAGAACCGCATTTTGAGGACGACTTGTGAATCACCCTATATAAGTAGTCAAAATGGTAACACTACTTGTTAGTTATTACTTGCGTTTGGTAAAGCCAGGGATGGGATCATCAATGACTCTTTTAACGTATACAGCGCCCGAAATGTGGAAGAGTGGAATGTTTGGCGATGGTATTATAGCCAATAGACTTCTGTTGAATTACCAATCACGAATTTAACAAATAGATGAGTGCATGCAATAAGCGTAAGTGTGCTTTTCAGAGCCATAGTGGATTGCTGAATGGTGGCCATTACATCTCATATGCCTGCAACCCCAATGGTCACTGGTACTGCTACAATGACAGTTCGTGCAGGGAAGTGTTAACTGCTGATAACCAGGATCCTTTGCCATCGTACCACTCTCGAGCTATATCTGGAGGGGGCTGCACACCACTCTCTAGGAGAAAAAATGTTGGGGTAAGATTGTTATTCACCAGCTTAGTTTCTCTTGGGATATGTTATCACTTGTACATGGCTCAGGTACACTTCATCATTCAAGGACAACTTTATGCAGCTGTCTGGTATATCAGCTTTCACCTATGAACTTTTCATATCTACTTTGCAAGAGCCAAGTGCCCCTGATGAACTGCTTTAGAAGAAAAAGCATTTATATAAAATACATATGTGATTTTGTAATATTTATGAAATAGGGCCAGCAGCAACCGGCTAGAAAATTGAGCAGTGGCAGTGCTTGTTCTGTAGAAGAATCAACAGTGAGGGAAAGGGTAGGATCTGAGGCATCTGATGGATCTCTTCCTCGAGAAATTTCGGCCACAAATAGCTGCAGGTAGTGATTTAAAAACGTTAAGATTAAGTGCTGCTCAAAGTAGTATTCGCTTTTAGATTTCCATACGTACGTGAGAGGAAGAGAGAGAGAGAAGCGTGTTAGAAAGAGTGCGCCATAACCGCCTCATCACCACGTTGCGTGGCAAGGACAGTGGTGGAGGGAGCACCATGGGTATTACGTATATTGAAAAGTGACATGTCAGTTTTTTTTACATTATATAGTTTTTTGCGATATTATGTAGATTTAGATATGACATTATTGGAGGTCTAAGCTGTAAATTGTATGCTGTAGCTGGGAGGAAATTTGACATTTTGTCGTTTTTTACGTCATATAGGTTTTTTACGTAATAACCCTGCTCTGCTGTAACTCCTCCCCCACTGTCGTTGCCTGGCAACGTGGTGAAGACGCCTACATGGCTCACTCTGCCTAACACGCTTCTTTCTCTCGCTCTCTCAGGTACAAATGGAAATCCAAGAGAGGAAATGACTTTGGCCAGCACTAAATTTCCTAAATTTTGGTTGGAGACTTGAAGCGTTTTCTTTTGATGGAACTAGTTTTGCACTGTGCGTGTAATCATATTGTTTTGGACCGTACTTTGAACTAAGTAGTCTTGCACTCATTGCAGAAATGTTGCATGGCCTGAAGGTTGCTGGTGCTGGTATTGTCAGCTGGCTACGGTGTCACATTTTGCAGATTTTATTTGTGGTTTTATATACAACCGTTTCTTTACAGTCAGTTTACACTTCTTTTTTTTTCTTTTGGGGGCCAATATTAGGATGAACCAGAGCAGTGTTTCAGACACGGAAACTGCATCAGTTTTATCAAAGGACAACGCTATTACCTAGCTTCTCAGTAGATCACTTCAGTTTGTTTGCTTTCTGCCTTCAAGACAAGGCCTATATCGTAGCGATGATTGCTAACAAGCGGTTAGCCATGGTTACAGAGACGGAAAGCGAACATATCTAGTCCGACTTGTAATAACATGAACTGTAGTCAAACTCGATCTTCTAGTTCCAGATCAGGGTCGATTAGTTCCGTGGACAAAGTGGGTTGCGTTTCCGACGGTTTGGCCTGCGATAATCGTTCCAGCAGTAGCGAGAAACTCCTTAGGGATTCGCCGTATTCCAGCCGGAAGTCGGTGAACAGTTTTCGGTGTCCGTACGAGAATGCACGGGTGCCCAAGATAGACACCAGTACAGCTTACATACTGTTCTATGAACGATCTGGCTTGGATTACCAGCCATATATGCCTAAGGTAAGCACAACATTTTTGTAAACAATAGAATATGGTTTTGAACATACGCTTATATTCCAAGTATTCATGAGAGTTGATTCCTATCCTCCGTCCCCAACCGACTTGCAGTAAAACTACAGTTAATTGTTATCTATTCTCCACGTGATCCCTACGTCTTCCTGTAACTCCGTCTCATACGCTTTTTTTAATGTATTGGCCAGTCGTTGCCTTAACAGGTGGTTTTTATAAGATGTTTTTCCATATTTGAAATCTCGACACCAGTGTTTGGCCATATCGTAAGAAACTACACACCCTTCAGCAGTCCTCGGAATATTTTGATGAATTTCAGTGAAAACTTATCACTTGCAGACATTTTATTACTGCTTCTTACTCAACACGATCCATTTCCATTACAATCCTTATCATTCATGAACGGAAAAAGCATACAGGGTTATCCAAATTAAGTGTCCACCATTAGTAACTTTGTTATTAGTGAAAATACAAAGTTGTTTGAATTAGCAAACTAGTAGCATTTTTAACGCTGGTAAAAATGAGAAATAAAAAAAAACAATTGAGAGTCGTTATTTTGATTTTTTTCAGTAAAATAACATTTTTTTAAATGGAAACCCCTGTATATTATATTTTTTTCTGTTAAAGCATCAAATTTTAAACAAAAAAGTTCATAATGACTTTTCCGCTAAAGTCAAAAATAAAGTCAAAATAACGATAAATATTTTTAATTATTTGCAGTATTATAATATTAAGACCGCTATGAAAACAACATGGCGTTCGCGATTTGACAGCATTAAGATAAGCGACAAATTGTTAAACTGGACATACTCGCAACTAGAAGGCTTTGGAAAACAATGATAAAATCAAATAATGTCAAACATTAGTGTAAATACTTGTTTATAAGCTTTATTGTGTCATTAATTTAAAGAAAAATGTTCTCCCATGAAGAAAAGTGTGATATTTTAGAATGCTATTTAGTGTGCAGAAAATCCTCCTTGAGAGCAAGAGAATACTACAGTGAATTATATCCCGCTCGCATTCAACCGTATGAACGATATTTTCTGAGACTTTATCGAAAATTTAGGGGCAACGAAAATGTTTTTGCTAAAACAAGGGCAAAAAAAGAATTCATAATAAGCGAGGCCACGGAAATTGCAGTTATTGGATATTTTGAAGCTTATCGTGAGAATTCAATAGCAGATATTCTCAAGGACTCTAATTTCAGTTATGGTACTGTTCAAAGGATTTTAAAAAAATACAAATTTATTCCGTATAAGTACCGACCAGTTCAAACGCTTTTGGCAGGGGATCCAGAGAGAAGACTTGTTTTTTGCCATTGGTATCTTAGCTTCTGTCGCCAAAATGTAAATAACTTTCGTTACCTTTTATGGACAGATGAATCAAATTTTTCAAATTCTGGAATGTTTAATAGAAAAAACCACCATTATTGGTCAAGAGAAAATCTTTTGTTAGTACATCCAAGAGGCCCACAAGTCCGTTTCAGTTTCAACGTTTGGTGCGGTATAATTGGTTCAAAAATTGTTGGCCCGTTCTTTTATGAGGGAACCCTAACTGGTGAAAGATATGTGGAATTTATGTCAGAAATTCTGACTAATTTCTTAGACGAATTGGATCTTATAAGTAGACATCATCTGCATTTTCAGCAAGATGGCGCACCTGCCCACAACTCCAGAGGTACTTATCATTTTCTAAGTACTACTTTTAATGATCAGTGGATAGGAACAAATGGCCCAATACAGTGGCCTCCCAGATCACCAGATCTAAACCCACTTGATTACTTCTTGTGGGGTTACCTAAAGAACCAAATTTACAAGCGAAGGTACGATAACCTTGACGCGTTAAAGACTGCAGTTAGGGAAAAGATAACCCAGATAGATGGTAGGACCATACTTAAGACAGTTCGAGCAGTTGAAAAACGTGCCCAAAAATGTATTGAAGAACAAGGTGGTGTTTTCGAGCATCTTCTTTAAAAAAAATTGTTATTGTATTTTGTAAGATTATAAGTTGATGTTGAAAATAAAGTTTGTCGATACAATTTAATTGTTTCAGATTGGAGGCCATAACTTCAACAATTTGTAACCTAGGAGAAAAGTTATTGTAAGCTTTTTTGTTTAAAATTTGATGCTTTAACAGAAAAAAATATAATATACAGGGGTTTCCATTTAAAAAAATGTTATTTTACTGAAAAAAATCAAAATAACGACTCTCAATTGTTTTTTTTTATTTCTCATTTTTACCAGCGTTAAAAATGCTACTAGTTTGCTAATTCAAACAACTTTGTATTTTCACTAATAACAAAGTTACTAATGGTGGACACTTAATTTGGATAACCCTGTATAATGTCAACACAGTTTTTGAGACCGCTTGTTTTATTATCAACTAGTATATAATAAAGATCTGCAAAGGGACCGGGAGCAGAGAGTGGGGATTAACTCTCATATATCTTTGGATATATGCCTCTATTAATATACCAGAAACACTCATCCTAAAGCGTTAATTTTTTTCAAAGTTGAGTGGTGTCGTTTTCTGCTTTTTCAAGCCTTTTATGTTAACGTCAGGCAGGAACAAAAAAAGTAACTGAAAAAAATTAAGATTTAATGGTGCTATCAAGACGAATCTGAGGACATGTCAAATGTAAAAATCCATCAAGCTGTTTGGGCTCGCCCGTGAAATAGGAATATCAAGGTTGAGGTTTGAGTTTAAAATCTACCGTTTTATAAAATTTTAGATCCATTGTCACTCACACCGTCAAGGCGAATCTAAAAAAGATGCGTCATGTTGTTTAAGCTGTAGCCCGTGGAATAGGAATTTTAAAGCTGAAATTTTTCATCAAGAGCTGCCATTTTACTTTCATAAATTTTTAATATACCCAGTGTCACTCGCACTATCGAGACAAACCTAGAAACGTGCTGGATACAATATTGATCAATGTTTGAACTGGATTATGCACTAACCTATTGGAATATTTATCTTAGGTGGTCCCCAATGCTAAACAAGTGCCTGTAGAAGATATAGACGATAGTGAAGAACTGAGAAAACAGCTGTGTTCTATACAGTAATGTGCAACATGTTAGTTAATCTTTAGGCAATTTTGGTTGATTCTGATTTTTTTCTTGTATACATTACAACCAAAAAACAGTATTGTCCTTGAAAACATGGCGACTCATGCGTATACTGTCTAAGTGTCCCTGAAATAGCACATTTAGATAGCAAAGAACTGGCCATGTTTTCAAGTTACTGTTTCTACTTTTTGCGAGGAATTGTAATTTTGTGGTCAATATTTCTCTGCAAGAAGGTTATTTGAAAGGCGAAGGCAAATGCATTGAAATATACATTCCAAAATTCCTTTAAAACATTGTTTTACACTGAACTATAAAGTACTGAACTGATTAATTTCCCTAAAATCATCGTTCAATATGTCTAAATCATCATCTGAACAGTTGCTATGCTTTATATTGCAGTTGATTCGTTCAAGATTACCTCCAAAATGCACCTCACTGATCACCCATAAAAAGGATGGGAAGTGTGAGATTGACTCCCATTTGCTTTCCAAGCACAATGTTGTTACTCTACAAAAATTGGACTTAGGCCATTTTTCATTTACCTGGAGAAATACGCAAATGCTTCAATAAAACATGCATCCAAATATTACACAAATACAGTTAATAGCTCTTTCGTGAAACTGTACCTAAGATAGGAAATTATTTTGTTTGTCCTATATTTATATCAACAGGAAAATCGGTATATCATTCTTTTTCGTTCTGATACTTTCATTTATCCCTGAACTATTTTCTTTAATATTGCTTATATAACGTTAGGGTGCGATAGAATATTTCTCCAAAAACTACACAATGACATACTTCACTAACTAAGTATAACCGGTTGAAATTTTTATACGGATTTCACCGTATTCGAATTCATTTCTCTATACGTTATTCAAAAATGCAATAGGTGTTTTTCTTAGCCAGTGGTGTAGTAATTAATGTAGTCTCAAGCACGAAAAATTTTGTTTATATTTTAAGGCAATACCACTCCGAAGAGATAGTCCTTTCCGATTTCGATACTTTAATGAATGTTGTATGTCAAAAACGAGAGCCTTCCCGACTGATGCACTTTTTATCTTAGAAACAGCACTCGTCATTTGGAACATTGGGCACTGTATCTTAACGAACTTTGATATAAACTACACTTGACTCTTGGATTCAGCGCTAATCTGTCAGGAAACTCCTAAAAATTAAAAAGTAGCATGCTGTTAGTCCTGTTGATATGAGTATATTTTCTATTGTTGGTTTGTATAGTTCGTTTTTCATATTGTTGATATCGTTATTTTTACATGATTTTCGAGGTTAAGTATACTGTGATCTTATAAGGACAAGGCGACATCGTATAAAAATATCTCTGGATTTTTACCACCACAGTTTTAAGCGTGAGTTGATGGATTTACGTGAGAATACTTTTTAAGGGAATTCTTCGCCATATTCGTGTTTATTAAATATTCAAAGTTCGTACTCTTTGTATTTTTATATGTGCCACAGTTTTCTGTTCAAATGTTTTTAGTATTATTTATTGAAAGAGATCTATGTCTATTATCCTAATACAAACTATGTGATTAAGTAATAAGAAGAGCCTAAAGTAATAACGTTTATTTTTCAACAAAAGGAGGCTTATAGATAAACGTTTGTTTTTATATTTAACTTAGGCAGACCAAAGATATTCAAGGAATCCAAGATAGATATTTGTGGTTGAAAAGTGTGATCATGTCGAAATATTTATGGAGAATCCTGTACATTTTTTCCTAGTCTGATATTTTTATTCCATTATTTTTAAGATATTTTAACATGTTATATATATAAATAATGATACGAATTATTCCATTTATGTATATGTAATGTGTTATACAGTTATATGGTGCCATTATAATAAATAAAGCTTGTACCTTGTTTGTAGACTTTTCAGTTTCCCAAACAATATCGATGTAAAAATCAGGGCAAGTCATAGAAATTTCAGGTAAATAAAATTGTTCAGTTCAATTCATTTGTTCATGCGTGGAGCTGTCTCAAAAGTTGATTGGGGAAACAGACGTGAAATGTGGAAAGATAATCAAAATAGCCGCAGCGATTTCCTCTTGACTACTTCTGAATATTGGATCACCACCAATTTCCTCATGATCTCCAGGTTAAGTTGCTACCATGTAGTATGTGCATATCACTTTTTCCATACCTCGTTTTTCTGGAAACATGTAGCCATACATTTTAATCAAGGATTTGCTAATTTTGCGGGAAAGGTTTAGCCAGTGACGGATTAGAAGCAGTAAAAGATAAGGATTGCAGCATTGGAACATAACCCTACCCCAGTATATTGTAAGGGTTTAATATCGGAATTGCAGGAATGGTAAAAATTCTGTTAGGCTAACAAAAACGGAACAGTTATTCACATTGATACAGAACAGGAACAGATTATGTTTTTCCATATCTCACGTTAGTACGATCCTGATAGCCAATACTGCTTATGCTAATAAAGAATTAGCGCCCATAGTCCAGTCGAATATGGGATTTTCACACACTACTGAATTTGCATCAGGATAACAGAAAATGTGGGAAGTATTTATCTGGCTGATCTAGTTTTTCCGCCTACTTTGAATCAGGAGCATAGTAGCTTTTTGTATATCTCCTCGCGCTCCTGCGATCCTGATAATTTTTCCTCAAGCAGGTTGAGGACTGCCGTAAATGGTCCAATCAAACATGCAATTTCCAGACACTTAAAATTCTGTATACGGGTAGCAGAAAGGGAAAGAAGTATTCACAACGGCGATCTAATTTTCCCACCAATGTTTAATCAGGTGCAAAGTATCTTTCATGCCTCCTCCCGTTTCTGCGATCCTGATAGCAAAGGTTGGTTATGCTAATAAAGAATTAGCGCACATAGTTCAGTCGAATATGCGATTTTCGCAGACTAAAGAATATGTATCAGGATAACAGAAAATGTGGGAAGTATTTATCTAGTTTCCTCGCCTGCTCTGAATCAGGAGTATAGTAGCTTTTTGCATATCTCCTCGCGCTTCTGCGGTCCTGATAATTTTTGCTCAAGCAGGTTGAGGATTACCGTAGATGGTCCGATCAAGCATGCGATTTCCACTTGAAATTTTGTATGAAGGTAGCAGAAAGGGCAAGAAGTATTCACAACGGCGATCTAATTTTCCCGCCAACGTTGAATCAGGATTCAAAGTATCTTTCATGCCTCCTCCCGTTTCTGCGATCCTGATAGCAAAGGTTGCTTATGCTAATAAAGAATTAGCGCACATAGTTCAGTCGAATATGCGATTTTCGCAGACTAAAGAATTTGTATCAGGATAACAGAAAATGTGGGTAGTATTTATCTAGTTTTCTCGACTACTTTGAATCAGGAGTATAGTAGCTTTTTGCATACCTCCTCGCGCTTCTGCGATCCTGATAATTTTTGCTCAAGCACATTGAGGATTACCGTAAATGGTGCGATAAAACATGCGATTTCCACTTAAAATTTTGTATGCGGGTAGCAGAAAGGGCAAGAAGTATTCATAACGGCGATCTAATTTTCCCGCCAACGTTGAATCAGGATGCAAAGTATCTGTTTCATGCCTCCTAAAGTTTCTGCGATCATTATAGTAAAGGTTGCTTATGCTAATAAAGAATTAGCGCACATAGTCCAGTCGAATATGCGATTTTCACAGACTAAAGAATATGTATCAGGATAACAGAAAATGTGGGAAGTATTTATCTAGTTTTCTCGCCTACCTTGAATCAGGAGTATAGTAGCTTTTTGCATACCTCCTCGCGCTTCTGCGATCCTGATAATTTTTGCGCAAGCAGGTTGAGGATTACCGTAAATGGTCCGATCAAACATGCGATTTCCACTTAAAATTTTGTATGCGGGTAGCAGAAAGGGCAAGAAGTATTCACAACGGCGATTTAATTTTCCCGCCAACGTTGAATCAGGAGCAAAGTATCTGTTTCATGCCTCCTAAAGTTTCTGCGATCCTTATAGTAAAGATCGCTTATGCTAATAAAGAATCAACGCACATAGTCCAGTCGAATATGCGATTTTCACGCACTAAAGAATTTGTATCAGGATAACAGAAAATGTGGGAAGTATTTATATAGTTTTCTCGACTACTTTGAATCAGGAATATAGTAGCTTTTTGCATACCTGCTCGCGCTTCTGCGATCCTGATAATTTTTGCCTTTAGCAGGTTGAGGACTGCCGTAAATGGTCCAATCAAACATGCGATTTACAGACAATTAAAATTCTGTATACGGATAGCAGAAAGGGCAAGAAGTATTCACAACGGCGATCTAATTTTCCCGCCAATGTTGAATCTGGAGCAAAGTATCTGTTTCATGTCTCCTATCGTTTCTGCGCCTGATAGCAAATTTAGCAGACCATTGCTCCTACGATGCGATGTACATATTTATTTGATCTTGCACCGATCTGGAATCTGAAGCCGGGTCGCAGAAGTGGGAAAAGTTGATTGTGCAAATTTTCCACCAATTTACGTCTTCTATACCTCCTAGCGTTTGTGTTATCCGGATGATAAAAAGAAAAATCTCTGGTCAAAGAATTATTGGTAGTGAAATTCTGTTTGCGGTATTAGGATTGTAGAAGTGATGATAGGTTATTGTACGTTTCAATTTTCGGCTGATTTTATGTCGCCAATTTATCTAATTCATCTCACGAGACATCGATTACTTTTGTTTGAGGTGTTTGACTAATAATCTTGCGAAATTATTTCATCAGACTATAATATCCAACCGCGAGCCGAATTTTTTCGATACCTCATTTTGTTTCTGTTATCTCCTGATGACAACCATTTGATAGTTTTGCCTGGGCAATGTGACATCTCACAATCAAATAAAATACAAACAGTACTTTCTGAAATTATATTATTTTTCTCATTATATCGAAAAATAATCTACACTAACCTTTATACAACCAACTAACCAAAATAAATTAACAATAAATGACAAAATGTATCAAATACTGATAAAAAAACGGGAATTACAACCATGGATGCCAGGCTGGGTCCATTCGACAAAGATTGTCATGACTGTTGGCTGCAGCTACAAGTGTTGCAACCTGGAAAAGGATGTTATTGATACAGTGTGTATGATTATGACTATTTTATAGCTTTCTTTACTACCAAAAAAAGCTCTCTATACATACAGAAGGTATCTAGAAAAAAGTCCAGTTAGAGCCTGCAGGACCACTAGTCTAATCATAGCAAATTTTCCCCAAATAATTGTCTGGTTTTATTGATGCAAGTATTTACAACATGGACGCATAAAATGGGTACACAATTTTTGTGGGATAACTTTTTATTCGACAACAAAGAATGAGAAAACGTGTTTTTTGGGATTCAATCGAAAGTGTTGACAGGAACGAGAAAACTCTTTGAATAAGATTTTTAGGTATTTATGAGATCACACATAAAAAGACACCAAGAATAGTAAAAAAGTTATGGCTGAAAACCGATGCAAAATGCAGGTTTCGGCACTTGTTGCTAATGCGATGATGATTTCACGCAATTACTCGAAATTCTTCAAATCCGAAGGCTTCTTACTTCTAAACAACCACAAAAAAAGTCGATTAGTCAAGCAGTTTTTGAGAATTTCTAATTGTTTACCCCAAAACACCTGACTTCCGGCCATCACTACTAGTTTATTGAGCAATATACAGGGTTTGTTTAAAGGGCATGTTTTAGCAAAATACAGATACAGATAATTTTTATGCGAAAAACGAAGGGTTACGTTTTTTCTTCTAAACAAATTAAAACATTTCGTATTTGTAAGTAATTTTTTTCTTCGCAACAAAAGGTGATATACACATCCGCTTTATTTTAAAGTATGTATAAGAACATACGTTTTTCAAATATCGTATCGAATCTGTTCATTTTTAGGGCGTTTGATACCAATTACCATACAATCTGTACGATTCCAGTTTTAATAGCTCTCTCCATAGGGAAGATCAACAAAAAATGTGTAAATCCGTTCTCAGGTATATGAAATTTGTGATCAAAAATGATATTTGAATATGGTCAGATTATATCAGGCGATAAATGGACTATGTAAATAATACCCTCAAAGCATTAACCATTCATACAAATCTGAACTATTTTTCATATAATAATTACCTTGCTATCAGTTCCCTCAAAGTGTGCCAAGCTATTCAGTCTATTCGAGATTGACGTCACAGCCTTATTGACCATATTTATGATTTGTTCAGCATCTGAAACCTTTTCTTGATTGGTACCAGTAATGTCTTCAGGTTTTTTCGCTCTCGATAACATCATTTCATCACGCAAAATCGGTTTTAAAATGCTCAGAACCTGAAATAATGTAAACTTATTCATTCTGAATGTTTATGAATAACATTGGAATAAATATGAAATGTCGCACAGTAAGGAACATACAATGGTGAAACGGGCTTTTTTCCAAAAATGTGTATCTGAAAAGTGTATTCATAGAGTGCTTTTTATGAATTAGATGTGGCAAAACTTGAGTTTCAAAGTTCAAACGCATAGTTTCCCGTCAAAGCTGCGACGTATCAATTTTTAGCGTGCTGTAGTACGTTTTTTACCAATGTCATTAGACTGTGGCCCTATTTCTGCAATAAAGATCATGCTTCAGATCTGAGAATAACCTTTGTTATCTGACAGTTTGACATGAAATTATCACGTTCTGTCCTATCATTTTTGAAAAAAGAGTATAAAGAATTTAATTCAGCCATTAAAAATACAATTTTCAATAATACTAATTATTGTCAGTTGAAGATTTAGAAACATTACATAAAAACTTGTTCTGTTTTGGTTTATTGAGATGTCACCTCAGGCACTGTATTTCGCACATAATCACTAAGCCCTTCATTCTCCTCTTATTTGAAACTATGATTCTTACCTTGAAATTTGGATATACCAGACACCTTGCAACTGCAATCATAGATGCAGTCAGAGGTCCAGTAACTCCAATCGTAGACAGAAATTCAATGATGTTAGGTGTCAATCTGAACGGAACCGGACGTGTTGTGTCTAGTTCGCCCGTACTATCATCTACGTCAAATTTGAAATACGAAATATTCATAAGTCCAGAGTCTTGGTGGAGATACATCATATCCGGATTCAGACGAGTGAGATGGAAGACGTATTCTGAGAAGCAGGCAAGAGCCAGTTGCAAAGTGAACTGAAAAATAAAAAAAAACGTTTACTACACTTTCGGCACGCCAGTAGCACTCAAAACAATAAAAACACATTTGCTGTTGAATACAAAATAATTTCACGTTATTTCTCACCATTTTCCTGAAGTGCCAATAATCTGTTGCTGAAGGGAACGTCTCGATAGCCCATTGTTTGATAAGGTTTCTTGGCACCATATTCAGCTGAATGCCTTTCAAAATATCCCTATACACCTGGTGACTAGCCTTGATGCCTCTACTTTGTACTGTTGCCAATCTTTCATAGTAATACTGAATCGGGTCGTCATGTTCTATTCCTAAATGAAAAAAAAAGTAATGAACAAAAGGCGTATATTTCCAATGCTTTAAAAAAATATCAAACGTTGAGAGCGTATACTGAAGTGTGATTACTTACCTAATTTTGCACAGCCTTTTTTGAATACATCCAATAAAGATACGGACGCAGGATTGTCTTCAACTAACCTAATCTGTTGGGAAACAGCTACAACTCGGGGAACAGTGAACTGTAGAAATCGTCTAGCGGTTTCCTGGAAGAAAAATGTAAGATACAGACAAGATCGATGCTGTGCAAAACTTTCTGGCCCCTCAAACCCAACAATTTAACCTGTAAAACATGTGGTTCCAGCAGGACGGATCAACTTGTCACCCAGCTAGGCAGACAATGAATCTTTTGCAAACAATGTTTCCGGGACGTTTAATTTCTCGATTTGGTGAGATGTCAACTGGCCACCAAGGTCACCGGATTTACGGCTCCTGACTTTTTTGTGGGGATTATCGAAAAATAGGGTTTATGCCAACAAACCAAATACTGTAGAGCAGCTGAAGAATAATATTACCGAAGCGATTGAAAATATTCCTACCGAAACCTACCAAAAAGTAATAATGGAAAATGTGATCAAAAGGGTTCAGGTTTGCGTGGCTTCAACAGGCGGACATTTGTCCGATATTATTTTGCATACATAATTTCAGAGCTTCAATAAAATATTAAGATGAAAAGAATCGACGTATTTTCACTTCATAAATATTCAAGATACAAACCAGTTAGTTACATATCGGCCACCCTGTATTTTAAAATTTGTCCGCGTGAAGTAATCGCATAAACCTTCTCATCAACTGAATATAAACAGTTTTTTAGCAAACTTTGAAATGCAGGTATTAGACATATTTCCAGAATTGTGTTCTCTATTTGCATTGATGGATAAATTATACAAATGAACACTATAGTTGAAAGAAAAAAATATTAATTATTCCCTACAAGTTATAGGTAATACAACTCCGCATTCAACATTCCAAATAAAAACATGTGGTTAAACATCCTTTTATCCCTTGAAATTGGTTTGGTTAGCATTTCTCTAATTTTATTGTCTGTCTTCTCTTGGACGAGGTGTTTTTCCCCATTTAACGGCACCGAAGGAATCCGAAAAAAACCCGTTGAGCATTATTCGTGGCATACAATCCAAAAACATAAAATTGACATTTGTAACATTACCTTTTGTTTGCCCAAATGAAGATTCATCATCCTCAACAACTGCAATACCCTTTCCTCCCTCCTCGCATCCGCCAATCCTGAATCGTTCACGACCAAGTAAGGGTAGATCTTCCCGTTATGCCCCCGAATGTACAATCTCCTGGCTGCAGCGTTGTGTTTCTGCACCACGTCCACCCTCGGCATGAACCGGGCAATACGCACAAAGTAGTGGTTGTGCTTGGGCAGGAGGAATTCACCGGGTAACTCCACTTCGGCAGTTTTGAGTGTGAAGTTTGAGAGGTAGCGGCATTTTTCTTCTATCAGGAATGACCTGTAAAAGAAGTGAATTATATCAGTCGAATAGGTCTGTACAATTAGTTACCAGTCCCCACCTATTTGACAACGTTGAGCAAGAGAGTAACCAGCTCAAAACGGAAGGGAACACCTTCAAAAACAAGTTGAAGAAATTATTTTTTTCTGGGTAACACTCCTAATGTCTGAATATATTATTTAAGGGTAATAATGAATACATCGAAAAAATGACAAAAAACAACTTATAGTAAATACTTTGAAATTTCAAACTGTAGAAGTTTCATTTTTTCATTTACCTAAGTAACTTGACCCCATAAAGCCCTCCGCGTCGTTCAGACGAATGTCACAAGATCAGTATTTACTGTGATCCGTCAATATATTTATCATGAGATGTGATATATATGAATAATGCATAATGTTACGCTGAAGGTACGGGTCGCAGTAAATATTGATGGTGTGACATTCGTTTTACCGTTTTCGAGATCCCAAAAGCGAGGTTCGAATTTAAAACACACCTAACACATATAGTGATTTTAGCAAACTTAAGTTTATATCTAACATACATTTCACCTAATCCTTTAATAATTTAGCATCTAAAAGATATTGATTCAGCTTTTGGAGAACCCAGAATGTATTATTCAATTTTTGAAAAAATGTTCCCTCCATTTGATTTTTGCCGAGCTAGGGAAAGGGGGGCAACTACCTCCTCCTTCCCTCGGGTATGTCCTTGACGTTGAGATCTAGAAATCTCTCCTATACCCTACCGAACATTCGACAATATTGCGGTCACAGCTGCGATGAGTAAAGCTCGTCAGCCATTTTATCTTTTATTTATACCATCCCCCATCCCCTACAACGTCCACCCTCAAATATTTACCCTTCAAAAGGTTTTCCAAAAACGGGCAGCGACCTCAGAAACGCACTAAAACATATTTCGGAAGACTTTAACTTTTTTACCCAAACAGTACTTTTCAAGTTATAGAGGGGACAAATCTTAGTGCAAGGAACGACTGACAACATACCAAAGAAATTGAGAGACATGGTTTTCTTGACGTACGTATGTCATGTAACATTCGAAAAGCATAATTTTTTGTCCTTCCTCGCGAACTGGCCTGGGAAGTAAACCGAATTTGAACAAGTCATTGTTTCTGAAAATGCAGTTTTTTTTAGGTGAGGAATACCTTACTACTCCGAAAAACCGAGTGTTGGCTTTATTAAAAATACATTCTCAGTCAACAAAATGGCGTCAAGAAAGTTGACTCTCATCAATTCATAAATGATTATATTCGGCAACAAGTTAGTCACTCTTAAAAAAAAGTTGGTTACGAGCATATACAGGGTGTCCGCAAAGTTAGAGTTTTCCTTTTCAGAAACAACTACCCTTGAAATAACAAAGGTAATGTGTAGTGAAACGAGGGCGACCAAGTAAAAAAAAAATAAAGGAAAAAGTACGTCTCTGCGCGAAATCATACCGCTCCAACAGAAAATGAAATCAGCTGAGGTGCTACCGAGCAGACGCAGGCAAACAAGGAAGGTAAAATGTTGCGTAAAAAGTCTAGGTATTGCATCCCGTCCAATCGATTTGGGAGAATAAATGGTCCAATGAGCATACCGTTCACCATGCCAGCCCAAACATTCACCGAAAATGTTTGTTGAAAATGTGCCCGACGGACAGCGTGCGGATTTTCTACTGACCAAACATGAGTGTTGCGAAAGTTATTCACCCCATTACGCGTGACCGTAACCGTCGGTTGAAGGTTGCATACTGACCTGACACACTGACCCCGACCCAGTTCTGTCGTCGGGTTGAGCCAGTGACCTTGTACCACTCGGTGATGTCGCGGGTCGCGGCTACAGGACAGTATTCATATATTTTTGATGTTGCAGAGCCCTTTATCTCGGTTCCCTTAAGACATTGGTGTATATGGTACTAAGAAAAATTGCTTATGTTTTCAAGATCTACACGTCGTGTAAAGGAAACCCCCAACTTTGCGGACACCCTGTATAAATGGATCATGTCAATCGAACAATATACTATTAATCCATATTCCCCACAGATTTGATAAGATTGCGATCCAGCCTTACCGACAGTATCGACCATCCAATCGTAAACCCGTTTTATACGCGGAAACACACATTTCGCTCAGTTATCCAGAACATTCGAAGCAGACAGACGTACGTTCGTTGTTGTCCACACGTATTTCGAAAATATATCTCTATCACCCCCTACAATACCCAACACCGAATTTGTAACACCTGCAACAATTTTTCTGAAAACGATCATATCCTCTTAAACGACAAAAAGCGATTTTGATTTTTCTGCCTGCAGCTGCGTCGTCACTGGACCGATTTTAAAAAATTACAAAGCTTTTAAGTCCTTGGCGTGGTGGTAACCTTGTCTGGAAATTTCATCAAAATCCAAGCGGTGCTTCCCAAGTTATAGACGGACCAAGGATAGCGGACAGACAGACCGACCAACCGAAATGACATGGTTTTTCCCGAAATACATATATAATATAAAAAAACAATATTACATTTTCGAAATTTTTCGCGATTACAATACTTTCTCGCCAGTGGGAATTAAAAGGAAATAAAAACTAAGATAAATACTTACTGCAACAACATCTTGGACCTATTATCCAAAATCTTGATCCACTTCTTGAGCTTGAAGATCAGCGTGTGTAACCTCATTGAATTCGACTGCGAAAAATCAAAATCTTTTGTAAACTCCTGTTTCATAGCTTTGAACACAGGATCCTTATAGGTCGCCTCTGCACGTCTAGCCAGACTTTCAGACGCCGCTGAATTGAACGTGACATTCACAGGGCTCGGAATATTTTCCACTCCGATACCAAAAGTGGACATCAGCTTCTTCACGAAGTTCAATATGTGCGGGGTGATTTTGGCTTCGTTGACGGCTTCTCTGTTTTCAAAAGCTATCGCGTAGCATTTGGTCAAGCCTTGACGGAGTTGGCGGAGTACCTCTTCGTACCAGTTCTCTTTGAACCACTCCATCTAAAAAAATTTCAGGTAAAGGATTATCTTTCCAAAAATATTATTTTTGATTATACAGGACGTCAAAAATCCAGCAACGCTGAGTTAGGGCTAGTACAGCTCAGGCGATCTAAATGAATTAGTTTTTTTCCATGTGATGCCCAAACTGGTAAATACGCGGTTAAAATTAAATTATATCATCCAATTTTCATTAGAGTCAACTAGAAACTTGTGACATTATTTTTGGAAAGAAAAAACAATCAGCTGGAACAAAAATAAAATATGTTCAAAAAAGTGTCATGTACTGAATAACGTCTGTTGTGACCAAAACGTATACTACAATAAAGAAGAATTTTAAGGGCATGATTAGCCAAACATAGGGGATTATTTTTGGTGTTCAATATGCATCCTAGAGATTATAATCTTATTCTGGGACACCCTGAATAAAATTTTCCTTCTTCCTGTGTATAAAGCTTATATAATTCTAAATCTATTCCGATTACGTAAAATTTGTTCTTGCTAACAGTTCAAGCAACATTTTCATTTCCAACAATTATTATTGCATCCTCACCTGATCCGCAATCCCCTCCAAACTACTCGAAACTGTCGTGTGAATATCCCTCTGCATCTTCATGATCTGTGAGCACTTGACCATCGTGGGCGTGGCCTTGATCGAACTCGCTTCCACAGTGGCCGATGCCGTACCTCCAGTGTTGCTTTGACTACCCCCAGATTCAGTTTGCTCTCCGCTTTGCCCCGCCTCGGCACCTCCAGTGCTGCTGTTCGAGTCTTGAGAGGATTGCTGAGACTGCAACAACCAACGAATTCAGACTAGGTACAAGCAGCAAGACTGCGATATGTTTGTCTCCAAAATCGCAGTCTGGAGTCTGGACGGAAATGCTTACTACAAGTGCACTTGACATAAATTAATTTTTTGAGCTCGGTCATTAAATTCGTATTTTTGGTGTTATTTTTAAAAGCGCGAGCGTTTGCAGATAATTGTGGTGTTGGACGATTTCAGAAAATGGTACTTTTTACATAATCTGCAAAGAGCGACACAAGCCTAATTAAGGCAGATATTTCCATGGGTAAGTGTTATTTGTTGTCATTTTTATATTATTTAATATATATTTTATAATAACTGTTGTCGTCAGTCGTGACTTATTAGAGCTGGTATTGTTTTTCATAACGAGCTACTGTCAAATAGGCAGTGACAAAGTTTCACAGGAATGTTTCATAAAAAGTGGCGGCAAGTAGATTGACTCTGTACTTCACACGTAACATCCTCATCAGTTCATAAGGGATTGTGTTAAATACAAGTTAGATTCAATGAGAAAAATTTGTGAACGAGGAAATTAAATGGAGCAAGTCAGTCAAACAGCCCCACACAATTAGTCGTATATAACCTTAACACAGAACAAAACAAGAAGAATATCCACCAACATCCCATGTCAAAACATGTAACAGTTTAAATGTAATGTTAGTAGTATTACGACCAATCAAGCACGTCGATTCTTTAACAGTGTAAACAAGCCCAACATAAAGTTTCCCGGAGATATGATTAATAGGCAGGTTCCAACTTAACAACAACTTTAACTATTAGTTTGCTGACTATAACATTTGACTAAGCATTAATAAATGTGGCCACAATGCAGTTATTTTTAAACAACACAAAGCCAAAGAAAAAATTGTAAACTTTGATTGGTAGGATTCAATTTCGAATTCTATTAATTGTAATATTCACTTACCTGAGCACTATTAGTCTTTCTTGCGGTAGCAGTGCGCAGAGTCAGATAAAGTATACGAATTGGGAAATACACTGCCTGTGGAAACATTCGACCAACCTAAAATGGAAAGAATCGATGCAACAAATATCATAACATAAAAAAAAGAACATCTTACTTGACAGAGCAAATTCAATATCACATTTCCTTTATACTGCACCAAACAGTTCACGAGTTGTGGTGTCCAAGGTAGCCAAAGGATTGGTGGAACTCCGACAGAGTATTTATCCAAGGCCTCCATTAAACTACAACAAATGAAAAATAATCAAGGCCGCTCGAATTCTGAATTCGATTATGTGGTCATATGCTGAATGTGAGCATACGCCAACAATAGAGGGTAAAGTTATTACAACTGTATTCAAATAATATTTACGCCTCGTTAAAACAAATATCAGCACACGCGCTTCTATTGGCCAGCGGGCTTCAAATGTCTAGACAGACAAAGACAAGTAAGTAGAAGCAGGTAATCATGTTTCGGAGTGAATGAGACTTGATAGTGCTTCATTAGCTAGATGGATAAATATGCTTTATTATCTGAATGTAATCATTCTTAATAACAAAGCTAAATTAGAACTAATCCATAACAATTACGAAATATGGTTTACATATTAAAAAGTTTTTAAGTTCAGCGCGGAATATCTTTAAATTTTTATTTCTTTTGATAGTATCAAGGAGACACGTGAATTTTCAGACCATTATAAATGAGAGACTTTTTCAAGCGTTGACTTAGGTACTACTAATTTAAGTTCTTGTTATCGCCTAATATTGTAACTTATATTTAATGTTTCAAATTTAGACTTATTTTTAAAAATAAGAGTTGTCATTTCCAAAATGAACAATGATACTACTCACTATTTTAAGATTTACAAATAAAGGCCTGCATGTAGCTCAAGGGTTGCTTTTAGTTATATATCTAATAGTTCCTTTTTATACATTAAGTACTTTTTTATACAATTTTGTTAACAGACGTACCAAAAGGGATTGCTGTATCTCAATCTACTTTCAAATAAGGCAAAGTTACTGCATAAGGCTGTGCTTTTCCCTACATTGTAACTAACTGTTCTTATAATAAAGAAAATCTTTGCTAGTTGAGTAAACGATTTGTCCACATGGTTAGTAAAATCTAATTTATTATCCAATGGTCAGTCCCAAAAATTTGATGGTGTCTGTTTTCTGTATCAATTCATTATTTAAATTTATAAAATCAATGGAGCATTCAAAAGTCATAAATTCTTGTCTTGATTTCATTTATATCTGCATCTTTCCAAAGTATTGTGGTAATATCAGCAAAAACTACGAATTTACCATTTATGTTATAATATCTTGATAAATTTTCAATTTGGGATCGATTATTTAAATATGTTTTAAACCAATTGAGTGAAGCTCTAGCGCATCCATATTGGTTTAATTTTTTAATAAAATATCATGATTTGAAAAGCTTTGGAAAAGTAGCAAGAAGAGCTATTGAACATACATACCCGCCAAAGTCAGGCGGGTATGTCTGGCAGAAACATCGCGCGGCGGCATCATGGAAGAGAGCTCTGAGGATCAAAGCCCGTTGGTGTAGCGGTAGAAGAGAGCTAGATCGCCGACGGCCCGCCGGTGCGAAAGGGTCCCGAGACTGTCTTTGAATTTGTTAACGGATCGTGGAAGTAGGAGGTTTGCCTGTTAATTCATTTACGACTTTTCATGCTTCCTTGGTTTTATTTCCTGAATTTATCATTTTCTGTTCATAATAATGTTTCATTTGCTCAAGCTAAAACATGCTTATATATTCTATGATACGTAATACAGTAGTTGATTAAACTTTCATTTTGTATAAACTATTAATTTTAGCGCTTCTATTTACATAGCTCCACGTTGTGGATCTTCATTCACTTTCATTACCGATAGACGACTAAATCTTACCTAGACTTTTCATCATCGTAACTCAACAGCCACAGCACTTTGGCAAGATATTTCCTAGCTTTAGCTTCATTTTGATGTCTACAGGCATGCAAGAAACATGCCATGGCATTGACTCCAAGATTGATCTGTCTGGGGTCTCTTGTAAAGACCTGTTCTAAGTAATCGCCATAGAGAGCCCATGATTTTATCGAGGTGTCATGCATTTGTACTGCTGCTGAGAACGCCTTGTTTGCTTCATCCGGTTTGTCTAGACAAAAATATAAATTTAGTTTAGAAATGTGGATCATCATCGTCTAAACGTCTAAACCTGCGGCTCCGCTCCCGTTTTGCATTAGTGTAAATGAGATTCGTTCGATGAAAAAAGTAAAGAAAGGTAAAAGTACCGGGTAGATTCAATCCTCAGTACCAGATATTTAAGCATAATTTCAAGTAACGGCAGGATTATTACGTAAAACATCTATATAATGTCAAAAAAAAAAACAACAAAATGCCAACTTCCTGACTAGGTAGTTTCTAGAGTGCAAATAGCTATTTCCGCATTCGCTCGCTATGAGCGCTGTGGGCATCACCAAAAGCGTCATCTATGGAGGAATCATTCAACGACACGCTTAATGACCATGCTGCAGGACGGTTTCCCAGCATGCTTTGTTGGTTGCAGAATGCCGAGATAGTCTGTAGAGTATGTCTCTGAGAAGATGTGACACAAAGACAATTAGTTGAGTAGCAAGAACGCATCTGGATGATTCTGTGTAATGGTCTGGTATAAAAGCAGTGATATTTGCTGTGAGAAAAGTATTGCTGAATATGCTGTCCATGAAGTATATCTATTAGCTGTACCAGATGCAGAACGAGTGCACATCAAGTGGACAACTAATTCTAACTTGAAAAATTGTAGAAAAACCTACATAATGTCACAAAAAAACAGACATACTGTCACTTTTCAAGATGGTATTACCCCCGCGTGTAGTTATAAACGGTAGTTACAATATTGACATCAATAACAGCAAAGTCGTATAATAAAGTGATTATTTACAGCTAAAACGTATCAAAAATTCAAAAATATGGTAAAACAGTGATCACTTACTGCTCAAGTGATACATCATCCCTTTGAAAGCATAAAACTCGGCATTCATCTCTTTTTGGAAATACTGCATTTTGGTGTGACTGAGCACTTCCAAACCTTCGACTAGACCGTTTTTGTCATTCATTGATGCCATTTGCAAGTAGCATTTTACTTGCTGCCTCACTTTTTGGAAACAGTCCACGATCGGCACACTTGAAATGCTGTAGATTTTGTTTAAGGTGTCCAAGCATACGTTTGTCAACTTGTGTTTGCGAGCTATCTTGCCATAATGGATGATGGACTGAAAAAATATTGGATGTGTAAACAACTGGTGGAGCATAGGGGTTAACTCTCGTAATATACAATAATTAGTAAATAAGAGTGAGTTACCTGTGCTGAAGCATGGACTCCCAACATAGAATTAGCAGTGGTAGTGTCTCGATTACTCTCATAGTGATTCACTATCACTTGGTAGTGATGTTGCCTCCAGGTGAAGATATCATTCCAGTGACTTAAATCGTCCGCTATCACTGGTAGCCTATTCCTCCACGTCTTTACTATGGCTTTCATATCATGCAATGAGTTTTGGTAGCCCTGTTTCAAACCTTTGTGTATTTGGTATGCTTCTTGGAGTTCCATGATTTGCTGGGCAGCCTTAGAAAAAAAGAATAGCAAATATCCATTAACTGTTTTTTGTGAAGGACATGACAAAACGTACAACACTAAACTAGGCGTCACCCAGCACCCTTAGTAGGTAACTGCAAAATGATAGGGATAGAGATTTGATCGCCATAAATGTCACCTTGGAACTAACTATCATTCACTTGTAGTGGATGTGTATGTTGTCTAAGAGCCGTTTTACACACAAGAGAATTACTCCGAAAATTATGGTCATAATTATGCCGAAAATTTGCATGGAAAAAATATTGAAGATTTTCTCTACAACCTGTATGACACAAGCAAACAAAATTTCGGAGTAATTCATATGATACGCCTGCGCATTAGAGTAATATTTTCGAATGGACATAACCTTAACGGGTATGACGTCCAATATAATCGGAAAGACAACAGACGTCGTTGATTTAAATTTATTTTTGAAATCGAGATCTTGATTAATATTATAAAAATTCTCAATGCTTGGACTATCGCATCCATTGGGTGACTTCACCTTGTACAGGTTTGGCCATTTTTGGTACTCCTCCAACAACAGTGTAACTTCTTCCCGATTCCACGACATTATGAATTTATTAATAAACAATAACAATATAAACGCTTCTTCGTACGACTCGAACAGGACCACATCCACAAACGTTAAGTGAGGTTATGTTGTTGATGTTGACATTTGATATTGACATGCACGGAAATAACCCTCTGCGCCGATTCTCGCGCATATTCTATAGAACGGGTTTTATATTTTTACCATGAAATTTTTCACAAGAATTCTTTTACGTGTAATACGACAGCCAAAATTTTCGGCATAATTATGACCATAATTTTCGGAGTAATTCTCTTGTGTGAAAAAACGGCTCTAAAGGAGAAGATACTTGAGCTATGAGCTGTGGCTCGGACGAGTTGTAACATCTGCTTCAGAGATGGCACTAGCGGAAGGCATTCATAGCTTCTTTGGCCTCAGCTGTAAGTTCTGTGCTATAGGTTGTTGTGTCATTCCTCCATAGGTGGCGTTCACATTGACAAGTGTGACAATCAGATCGCTATCATAGCCATTATTTTACATAATACGGATGCCGATCTTTCCGTTAGTATATCTGTCACCAAGTAATTTCAGCAAATATTGGGAGCATATGAGATGATGCATAGTATGAAGTATACTAAGTGACATATAAATCCGAACACCCAGTTTAAATGGTTTTATTTTAATAAAAGTTGGTGAATGTATTTATCTTACTGTAAATAACAAGTGAAAAAATTTTCAGCCTTATCAGTTGGACATTCCGGTTTTTATACTGCTTTTTTTTTAATTCACTAACGCTCTAAAAATGAATATTTCAGCCGCAGTAAAGAATCAACGTTGGCGGATTTTGGTTCTTGACAGCCTTTACGATCGGTTACGATGCCTAGAGTACGGAGACCTGTACGATTTCGTCAACTTAGTGAGTTTGATAGGGGCCGTATAGTGGGACTTCGGGAAGCTGGACTTTCTTTTCGGGCAATTGCAGTTAGAGTGCAAAGAAGTGTAGACGCTGTGGTTAGGTGTTGTCAGGCATGGCTTCGAGAAGGCCGTACGCAAAGAGCAAGGGGCACTGGACGCCGCCGTGGAACAACAGACCGTGAAGATCGCCGCCTAAGATTATTGGCCTTAAGGGACCGTTTCTCCACTACCAGGTCCATTGAAAATGAATGGTTTGCAGAACACGGAAGACCTATTGGCATGCGAAGTGTTTACCGACGAATGAGAAGTTTTGGCTTGTTTTCATACCGGCCACACTGGGTCCTCCCTTTAACTCGAGAACACCGACGTAATCGCCTTGAGTGGTGCAGACAACGGTCACTCTGGGATCAGGAATGGAACAGTATTGTCTTTAGTGATTAGTCTCGATTTTGTTTAGGCATGCACGATGGTCGTGCCAGGGTTAGAAGGCAACGTGGTGAAAGGAGGAATCCACAGTTTTTTGTTGAAAGACATGTTCATCACACTGTTGGAGTTATGGTTTGGGGTGCTATAGCTTATGGTTCCAGGTCACCTTTAATCTTCATCAGAGGTAACATGAACGCGCAGCGTTATATCCACGAAGTTCTAGAACCCCATCTTTTACCCTATCTTGACACCGTGGCAGATCCAACTTTCCAACAAGATAATGCCCGACCACATGTTGTTGTTACCATGGCCACCAAGATCTCCCGACTTATCCCCAATTGAGCACGTGTGGGATATGATGGGTAGGAGATTGCTCAATTTGCAACGCCCTCCTCAGACTCTAGAAGCACTTCGAGAGGAGTTGGTGGTTGCCTGAAATGAGAGGACATTGACCACCTGATCAGAAGCATGCCTAGGCGCGTTGGAGAATGCGTAGCACACCAGGGTGCATCCACTCATTATTAAAGGTCAAAGGGCTTTAAAGCAGTGCAATCATTTTGAAATTTTTATCATTTACTTATTATGCTTCATTAAGTACTTATACAAAATTGTATTAAAATAAAACCATTTAAACTGGGTGTTCGGATTTATATGTCACTTAGTATATTACCTGTAGGTATGGCAGATGAATGTGGCTGACAATATGTGGCAGTCGTCTCCACTCCGTCAAGCACATATTACTGGCACTTTCCACATATCTCTCGACGAATTTTAGCAATTTATTCTCGTCTGGCTGACAGATGAGCAAGTAACCTCCATACATAGTTATCTTCCACGCCATTTCTTTGGGGCAGTTGTATTCTACGTTGGTCAGGGCTTCTTTCATGACATCCCAGTTTGGTATTCGCCAGGCACTTTCCAGCAGCAAGTAAGGGTTATTTACGCCGTTTTTGGAGTATTCCGTCAATACTTCCCATTGGTTCAGTTCTTTGGCGCAGCTATAACAAAGCATCACCGGTTATTTTGTATACCTGTGAGTCAGAACGACAAAGCCTAAATATCTATGTGACATTACACGTGTTACAACCAGAAAAAATAATTTATTCAACTTGTGTTTTTTGCGACATAATGACTATATTTAAAGCATGCTGTGGCAACAATGTCAACGTGTTACCTTTGTTAAAATGTTATCTTAGTTTTTGTCAAGAAAGCAGTTTCTGAGAGCTGAGTAGTACAGATGCTTAGCAACCTCAGAGTAACCTGAAAAAACTTTCTCCAGAACGAAAAAAACAATGATTTCGCACCAGGTTACCGCCTGGAAACTTCCCAGTTTATATTTGAGGAACGCGATTATGAAAGAAAAAAATTTGTGGGAAAATTCCGTCCATGAATGCGAGGTTTTCGATTAGGTCCAGCAATTTTTATTCCGAATACAAAATGAGATTATGCGGTATAAGCGAAACTATCAGTGTCAGAGCGTTCAAACTTATTACGCCACTGTTTCGTAGGGACATTTTAACGTGGAACATTGGAAGACTAGCTTCGTCACATCTCGTTCATAAAAATGATATATTTTTAAAGGTGAAATTTATATTCCGTCGAAATTAAAATGTTACACCACCGCGGCCGTTCTTTCTCTATAGTGGGCGTGGTCCGGTCATAAACCCGCCCAACACAACTCACTCAATGCTCCATTTGGCAATCCTCGCCAATAAGGAAAGAACGGCGCTATATACGGTTGATTCGACACATAAAAGCAGCTTAATATACAAACCGTATCCAATGGTCCTCCCACAGTAAAACCTCCCTCTGTGCATGTGCTGGGGCCCCACCTTCAGCACGATGCCTTGCCATGGCGGCCTCGTATCCCGCTTGTGATTGTTCGAAGAAGCCGTGCTGTTCGTATGCCACCGCGGCTGCGGTTTCTTTGTAGTGGGCGTGGCGTTGCCATAGACCCGCCCACAGGTCTTCTTCGCACAATTGTTTGAATAAGTCGGCCAGACAGTCCAAAGGATCCTGAAGGAGAATCGTTTACATGCTAACGGTACAACTTGTATAAATACAAGGTGTTACAGAATGTTGTCAGAAGAATTTGAGAGTAGATTCAGAACTAAGACAGTAAAAAAAGTAAATTCCTGGTTTCCTTTAATAAGGTGTTTGAACTATATGATCAGTGAATACTTCAGTTCTTTTTGCAACAATTAGTCCCTATTTTAAAATTGATGCGCGGGGTTCAAATCTTGATCCGGATCATAATAGACCAATAGGAAGGCGTCTATGTAGTAATGGATCAAATCAATATAGTCGATTTCTTCTAAAATATCTGTCAAGTAGCGAAAAAATATACGAGTTGTGTAAGAAGGGCTTCTAATCCCCATATTAGATCAAGAAATTCTTTGTAAATCTCCTCGTTTTGCTACAAAAATATATTGTTCCACTTGATCCGGAGATCAAAACCGATGATCTGGATCAACAATGACCATTTAGAAAGCGGTTTCGTAAAACTGCATCGACAATTGGGCAGCCAGAAACAAGTATCACAAGCCCACCTTATAGATTACTTGAAAAACTTACTGATACTTCAACTACTACGATCAACAATTTAAAGATATTGCGCCGTGAACTCAAAAACTTTCAAATAGACAAATCGTATTATGTCTATTTTAATTTGTCATTTTGTCATAATTTAGTTTTAAGTTAGATTTCTCATTAAGATTTGTATTCATCAGACAACAAAGCATATTTATCAATCTATAACAACTAAATCGACGGCCTCAATGGGTCATCCACGCGCAGTGATTGATTCTGGTATTTGATATATGAACATTCTGTAACGCCGTGTAACATTTAAACACATTTTCTAGTATCATAGCTAATAAGTCTTTCGATTGAGTTACCTTTCAAAATAATAATAAAAAAAATAAACAATAACGTTTCTACCAACTGGGAGCGACGATACTGCTTCAAAGGAACATATAGACAGATGCACACGTTAAACTTATATCACCTCCCTTTTCTTGTCGAGGATTAAAAATACTTGAATAATTATGAACGGACGGTAGAAAATTTGATCCTTATATATTGGCGACTGAGAAGGAGCCAAGATGGTCCGGGATTCTGAACAATTAAAATTTTCAACAAATTGTCACTAAATATAATGTCGCTGTCACTAAATGATTTTAAGACTCGTATTAGAAAATTTTTGTCGTTTGTAATGTGTTCAGAAATCTGAACAAATACAAAACTTCTGCAGAAACACACACTCATGCACTATGTAATGTAAATTACCTAAGGAATCCATACTCGCGACTGAATTTAACTAAGAATAACAGACCTAACGTTAAATTATATAATTTATTCGTTAATGCAAATAAATAACACAACTTTGAAAATATGTCTTATCACTACTTCTCAAAGTTGCTATAAAATATTGCTTAAACAATGTTTCTATTCCTTTGATGAGTACGATGATGCTACGACGGCACTCGGATAGTTACGAGTAATAAATTAGTTTGTAAGACTTCACATGTTCATTGTATCTACAGGGTGTTTAGTGAGATAGTTCACTTTCTGATCTAAAAAAAAAACTTAATGAAAATAAAATATTTATTACTATCAACATATTTGTAAATTCGACGGTTTTGTTTCTTGAATATCATTCCGTCCAAATGTTTGCCGTCCTTTCGGACACACTATGCTAATCGCTCGCACAAATTCTGAAACACTCTCTTGCAGAGTTCCGGAGTGATGTTGTTTACTTCTAGTCGAATATTGTCTTTAAGCCCCTCCAGTGTTAGTGGTTTATTGGAATACACTTTTGACTTTAGATAACCCCACAAAAAATAATCGCATAGCGTGAGGTCGGGTGACCTAGGAGGCCAGTGAATGTCTTCAAACTTCGAAATAACTATTTGAGGAAAAAGTGCTTTCACCGTGTCCATCGATTCTCTGGAATTATGGGCAGTGGCCCCATCCTGTTGAAACCATGTGTTTCTTCTAATTCGACGTTCTGTTCTTACAATAGGAGCAAAAAAGTGTCAATCATGTCCTTGTATCGCTCGGAATTGACTGTCAATGCATGACCGTTTTCAGCTTCAAAGAAATACGGCCTAGTAATATTGCTAGAGGATATGGCGCACCAAACAGTCACCTTCGGACTATGTAGCTGTTGTTGATGTTTCTCTTTTGGGTTCGTTGGTGCCCAATATCTGCAATTTTGGTTGTTCACATAAACGTCTAAGTAAAAATAGGCCTCGAATCATCATCAAGATTCAACATCCGTTCAGAACAAGATTTCCTTCAAAGTATCGACTGATTGGATTTGATAAGGATGAAAACCCATTTTTTCTGCATCATGCCATGCAGTGTTGATCTAGGGATGCCCAAAGCAGAGGAATGCTTCCGTACAGAACGCCGAGGATTTGCAATGACCGAATCACTTACTCGACGCACATTTTCTTCTGTTGATACAATAGTTGTGGGGCCAGGAATGCGTTGACTAAGAGTAGAGCCTGTTTCATTCTTACTTCAATTTTTCAAAATGCTACTTCCATTTTCTGAGATCTCGCTACAATAATTAATAACATCGAATATCTAAATGTTTTTTGTTTCTATGCACATACCTATATTAGATATATATGATTGTACCTACCTTACATTGTACGCTTTTCCCTAATTTCTTTATGTCTTTGTTTGTATTCTGTGAATTTTTTCATTTCTTCTATATATATATTAGTTATTCATGCTTTCTAAAAGGCTATTGTTTGAATATTACTACGGTAACATATACTACTCGTATATCTTTACTTTTAAGCTTTTAAGTTAGTTAAGTAGGTTTTGTTAGGTTAAGTGGAAGACCAGCCATTCCTCTATAGGAATGAAAGCTGAACTTCGCCTTTTCCAAGTATCATTTCCATATCTCTGTACCTTGGTACCAACGAATAAAGATGATTATTATTATTATTATTATTATTATTATTATTACTTGGAGCATCTCTTGGTCGGCGAATGTCGTACAAAATTTCCGAAGGGCAGCTGCGTATGAATCATCATTCTTAAAGTAAGCCTCGATAGCAAAAACACGTTGCGCTCCGGTCCAACGTTCCATTGTTACCATTTAACCCGTACGCCGAACGCGTCGATCGAGACCTCTCTCCACTTCCTCGCGTATACGGTTGCCGCGTTATTCAAATTTGAAATGTGAACTTTCCCACTGGACACCCTATATAATGTGGTCAATAAATGGTATGGTATAACGATTGGAAACAGTTTTTCGTATCAGCCTGAATAAATAAGTGAAATGAAATGAAATATAAAAAGGTACTTACAGTTTTTGCTTGTTCTCCCTCAAATTCATAGCAGGAAGGAGCATTTGTAGCCTTGAATGCTGCACCTGGTTCAAAAGCCATTTGTTCCAAGCCAAGAGCCATTCGGTGCCAAAGATTGTGAGATTTACCCAGGTATTTCATCAAAGCACTACAAAAATAATTACATGATAATAATGAAAATGAAAAAAAATGGGTATGGCGGAAAACTTACGGAGCCATTTGTACGGGTGGATTGCATCTACACAGGGCTTCCACAAAAGTATTCACAGCACTTGGATGACATTCCTTCTGAATTATATGTGTACCAGATGTTATGAATGGTAATATTTCTTGAGCTAGAACCTGAAAACAAACCACACACCCATCAATATTTAAACGCAAAAATATCTAATCATCATACATATATAACATTTGAATATTATGACTACCAATACAGTCCAACTTATAGTAGATAAATATTATACTTACTGCTCTATGAGGCTCCTCTAAAATACTCCAAATTTTGGGAAACAGCGCTAGCCATACATGTTCAGCTAAGGCTGTGTCCATATGACACAACTGAGCAGCAGCAACAAGAAATTGTTCTGTATTTATGTTTCTTGAAACCTGAATGAACTCATAGTGCTTCTTGATCATTTCAATAGTCTCTTCTCGGATCACTGGTTTTTCTTCCACATTTGGATTAGCATCAACGTTAGTCAAGTCCACGTCGAGTACTTCCTCTTTGATCTCAGATGAATTGAAAATGTCAGGATTTTGGATCTGGTACAAACTGAACTCCTCTTTTTTATGCTTATCTGCGTGGTTTATGGCGGAGGTTATGCTGGGCAAAATGCTGCTTTCATGGGACATTTTTATACCGTTATCTGAAAAAAGTTTAAACCAATAATTTTGGGAAAAACGTTCATCTCATAGAAAAGGTGACACTATACATGAAGAGTTACAGTTCCATCTATTCGTTCAAAATGAACGGCGAACGATGCTATCTCACGTCAGTGTAACTCAAGCCCTAGACCACTAAAGGATAAGTTAGTTCTCATATTCATATTTCTCAGTGGATAAATACTGATTTTTGTGATCCACTAGCAAAGATGCATGGGGTAAAAAAGAGAATAATATAAAAATACCTGGCGCAGCAGTTATGAGCAACAGCTCGATACACTGCTTGATCCAATAGTGAGGACCTATAGCATCCCAATTCTGGGAGCATATGATATATAATAATCTGTCATGTAGTCTTCTACTCATAGATTCGTCGAAAACTTTGAAAAACTTTGCTCTGATGTGAGGCTGGTTGCAACGTAGACCCGCCAAAATGCAGGCTCTAATTTTGAGGTCAGTTCTGTTGCCTTCAAATGTTTGTCACTAAAAATAAAAAATCAAATTTTATTTAGAGTTTTCGCAATATTAAAATTATTTATAAGCTACGTTTATTCAGGAAACCCGAATTGCAGGTTGCCTTAGGAATATAGCTTGTTTTTCTGCACAACACAAATGTCTCAATATTATCGCAATACCTTATAATGTTACACATTACAGCGTTTCAAATGAAACACCCCAGAAATTGATTACTTACGTATACACATAGTTTATCAGCTCCAAAAACTGTGCATTAAGTTCATTGTCATCAGGGAACCTTTTCTCCACATACTGCATCATCTTCACCAGCAATATTGATTTCTCCCTCAAGCTAGGAGCTTGGTTCAATGTCACTACGTTTTTGCATTTCATCCATTCTTCCAGCATCTGTCAAAATTATAATTATTACTTATTGTTCATACCGAATTAGCAATGCTCAAGAACATTTGCTTTAAACCTTTTTCCGACAAGGCAGTGACACCGAATTTTTTATGGGATTAGCAATTTTACATACCATGGTAATATTTGAATAATTATGATTATGAAAAAGCCTCCCGTACCTTGTTAATAGCCTTCATAACCTTGATATCCTGCGTCTTCTCAATTAACCCGACCAATATGGCCCCAATAAATGTTTTCCTCATTTCAACACCCATGACCACAACTCTAGTCTTCACCAGGTCTAGACACAGAATCAACAGTTCGCTGGTAAGGGCCATGTATTCAGTTGTAGTAGGGGCCAGATGTTCTTTGGCCAATCTATGCAACACTCGCATGAACGGTGTGATCAACAAGTCAATGTACGAATGATTATTCGCACAGGCCGCTTTTAAGATCATTACAGTACTGAAGAGGTTTGATGGGTTCTCTTTGACCTCATAGTTGTTCAGACCTTCGGATATAACCTAGAAGAAGTCGCTGTCATTAATAAAATAAATTTATCGCAACATAGAAAACAATCTGTCAATAAACTAGTAATAGACGGCCAACCAAGGAGAGCAGTTTCGTGCAATTTGGCAGCTCTTCAGCATAGAAGCTTGGTCTCGATGGATAACGAATGAAAATTGGGCAACTCTATTCAGAGTATAAGGCCTATCTAATTAAGAGAGCACAAAGTGCCACCTATCATCAGAATCAACCACTACGAAAGTAAAAACAGCAAGCTGTCTGTTGGAACTGTATGCCAGTTCGCACTGGCAGGTAGATGTCGCCAATTCTGGTCATATAGTAGATTCGGTCTAGTCGCCATTGTGCTGTCTTCATTCTGCAGACCTTATACTCTGAATAGAGTTGCTCAGCTTTCGTTGGTTGTCCAGCGAGACCAAGATTCTGAAAATGTTTGATAAGGGGCGATCTCGGTATGTGAACAGCATAGTGACAGGTGGCGAGACTTGGCTCTATTATTGCGATGTGCCGACCAATGCCGAAAACAAAATTTATGTCTTTGATGATGAGAACACACCCGTAGCAGCCAGAAACTCCCGCACGGGTATCACGTAGCTTGAAAAGTGGCATTATGCCGATTTTTTTTGACAAAATGCTGTTTTTTTGACATTATGTTAACTTAGCACTTAGTTGTACGTTGCCTGAACATCATGAGGCTCGTTATCAATCTTTGGCTCTGATGTAATGTAAAATCTGCTTCTGAGATGGCATTACAGGTTACAGGAGGTCTAAGGCCCGTATCGTCAGTCGTCCCTACAATTGTAGGGCGCGTTTACGGCCTCCTTGATTGTCATAGTTTTCTACTTCTCCGTGTCAGAGCTCTACTTTGAGGTTATGTCACAAACATCTATTTGCATCAAATTATGCTTGCTTTTGAGTTATATCGTGTTCTATCAGCCTGAAATTTCCTACAATTTAAAAGGAAAACATATCTTAACAATAGGAGAGCGCTGACACGGGACGAGTGTAATCTAGAAATTTTTGAAGGAGAGAAAGAAGTATGACAATCAAGGAGGCCATAAACGCGCCCAACAATTGTAGGGTCGACTGACGATACGGGCCTAAGCTGTAAGTTGTATGTGTTGTTGATAATTACATTGGGTTCTTTACTAAACTTAATTGAGATTCAAAGCTAGAAATTAGTTGCGCATCCACTTTTTCTCATCCATTCTGGAAATTACATAATATACAAATTTGCTGAATTTAAAAATGAGAGAGATAAGAAATAATTATATTCACTGTACACTGTCGAAGTACAAGCCATATACATGCTAACAGTAATTACACACAACGTGGGCGCGGTGATGATTTCCCGTAATTCTCCTCAGTTTTTTGTTGTTTATAACTTTGAACATAACATCTCTTCAGAAAGCACAACATATAAATAACCCGTCATATTCAGCATATTCAGTAATGATTTTCTCACACAGCAAATATCACTGATTATATACACATGCAGACCAATACACATAATCATCCAGATGCGATCTTGCTATTCAACCAACTTTCTTCTCAGAGATAAAAACTTCAGACACGGATCACTCAGCCTCACAAAACTATGCAACCAATAATGCGTGTAGTTTAGTTGAGTGATTCCTCCATAGATGGACGTTCACAACGATCCTAGAGAGCAAACGTGGAATTACTGATTGCGCCCTAAAAACTACCTAGTGAGCAAGTTGACATCTTATATGTTTTTTTGACGTTTTATAGGTTTTTTACATGATCCCCGTGCCGATCTGTTAAGAAAAAAATGATAGCAGCATTTTTCTAATCAAGCGGGATTATGGAGCGTGTCGTTTGGAACACACAGAAGACAGTAACAGCTAAGTGGTTCACGGAACAGTGCCTACCTGAAATCATAGAGTCTATAAAAAACATGCGGCAATAAACAAAGTTGCATTGCAAAACTTTTATAGTACCCTTTGTACTTTCCGCTACTCTATTTTGCCATCATCTGCCGATAGGATATTAGAATCCTTACTAACATTATAAATGAGAAAGTGTGGATGTTTTTACTAAACCATACTAAAAATGGCTGAACGAATCTGGATGTTTGGTACAGAGATAGGTTATAGTATAGAATAGCGCAAAAAAATAAAATAAAATTCTGTAAAATATTTTTAACTTAAACGATCAATTTTTGTAGTTTAAAGATCGTCTAATTCATTTTCAGTCTTCAAAAATGGATATTTTTGGTCATGATATTTAATTGATGATTTGGATATCTTTAAACTAATAAATAGTGGTTTTCAATGAGTATTATTCAAAGACCCAAAACAAAAACTATTTCTAAGAGATTAGTAACTTTTGGGAAATTTAGTTTGTACAGTTTTGAATATTCTGCCTGAAACTGAGTTTGAACTGGAATTCCCCAATAATATGTGAGTTACCTATCATTTTAAATTACATTAGAAAGAGTACCTAGATTACTGTAACCTTAAAAACTCAAATTCAATGTTGGTGCAACAGGCCATTAGAACGTAATCTAAGAATCATAATATATGACATAAATAACAATTTTTCAACATTTTCCCCTAGAAAATTTGACGTTTGATCTGAATATATTTTCCGAAGGCGCCCGAGAACATACGCACGTAGTTTCGGTTGCAATTCGCACTAAACCGAAACTCCGATTTTAGAACGAAACTGGTCGAAACCGAAAGGTCGGTCGGACACTAATAATTTTATACCAATTTAGCCGCGTAAGCAGAAACGCAAACACCAAGACACCGCCACTGCTGTAAGCAGCTTAAAGGTATCTTGGTAATCCGATTTCTGAACTGCCTAAGGTTAGTAGAACTGGAAAAACCTCTTGAGGCAGATTGTTCCACAATCTAGACACCTTAAGAACAAAGGAGCGGTAGTGCAGGTCAGTTATGGTTTCAAGTTCGATAGAGTAAGGATGTAGGGAAAGAATCCTGGCGGGTCCGTCTGGCAGGCTCAAGTGCTCAGGAGCAAAGGGCCATTGACAAGAGCCAGATCGCTGACTGCCCGTCGGTGTGGGAAAGAAAAAAGTTAATCTTAGAATAAAAATTACCTACCTTTCCGACTGTAGAATACAGCACTTCCAACTCCTCGTATTTACAGCTCAGATTCGCATTGGTCCTTTCCATAGGGAACAGGGCAAACAGCTTAGTCAACAAATTATGTACCAACTTTATCACTTTGCTATTATTTGACGTAACGCAAGCACCTATACCCTCCTGTAACGGCTTAAAACTGTTGAGGATCTGCTTTTTGTCAAAGACCGTCAACAGGTAAGTCAGCAATTCCAATGCCGTGCAAATATTGGCAATGTTGCAATTGGGCTGATCAATGCTCACGAGAATTTTATCGAAAAAGCCGAGTTTGAGATCTATCGTGTAAGGCCAGATGTCTGGTTTTACAGCAGTTTTCATGAGAATCACGCAGCGTCGCGAAAGAACTTCGCCTGGGCTGTTGGCCACTGGGTTCACTGGATTCACCTGAAAAAAAAAATAGAGGTCAATAGAAGTTTCAAATTCCAAAGGGCAACCGTGAAAAAAGGGTAGGGTAGCTGTGTGACATTCCAAAAACAAAACAAAAGTTAAATGTATATCAAAGAGGTGCATATGTAGAAGACGATAATTTTTAATGAATATACAATAGGAGTTCAATAATATGTTGAACGTACCTGACATGCTAGTCTCAAAAGAAAGTTTAGAACAGTTTCAATGTGTTGTTTATCAATAGGTCCCATATCAGTTTTGATACCAGGCTCTGTTTTTATAGCTGGGGTAGGAGTTGTAGACCCGGAAGGACCAGGAATTGCAAATTTCTTCCTGCTACTCTCGCCATCATCATTTATGGGTCTCTTTGACGTGCCTTCACCAGCCTACAAAAAAAAAAAGAAAATGATAGCATTATAACAGAAAGATTACCGCGCGAAATAAATCTTGTAACTTGATTTTACGTCAACGTCCAACATAAATTTTGCGACTATTGTCACCAGCATAGCTTAGATATGGATATGTAGTCTAGTCATTAACAGTTGATGTAAAACTCGTGAGATGATGCCAAAATTGTCATAGGATATTATTGATCAAGAAATTGTCTAACAAATTACCTCAGCATTTTCAGATTCTTCCTTGATACCATATATCTCCCATTTGATAATAACTTCAGCCAATTCAACAGCTAACTTCCTATGTTCTAGAGTAGCAGTAGGACTGAATCCAAGCCTTTGGATGGAGCTTACCATATGCTGAATGAGATGGTGTCTGACTGGATAATAAACCTGAAAAAATAAGACGTTCTGAGAGCGATTGAAAGGTCAATAAAAAAGACAAACGTTGAAGTTAAAAAGGGCGTCAAGCAGTTTGAATTTGCACCTCCCACGCAACGCCATCATCAGTTCTTAAGGAACAGTGTATAACTGAGGAACTAAATGGATCAAGTCAGTCAAACAGACCCACAGAATTAGTCCATCAGCAATCTTTCCCCGCCCTACCGATCCATCTGACAACGTCGCCTTTCCCCGATACCTGACGGCACAAAGCGTCAGTAAAGCCAGAATACTTACCAAGTCCGGCACGCTCAGTGATGATATCAAACAGCAGTAGGAGTGACGCGTATCGAAAGCATTTCTCTATCATTGTAATTTAAGGGCAAATGTACGGGGAAATCTATGATGTGTGGAACATGTCTAAAAGGAGCGTAAGACTACCGAGAATAAATAAAAAAATTATTTCAAAAACTATAATGATTTTTCGCCCTTGGCATAGTAGTAACCTTATTTGACAATTTCATCACAATCCGACCGGTACTTTTGAAGTTATAGATGGACCAAGGATTAGCAGACAGACAGACCGATAGACAGATCGACGGAAATTAGTTACATGGTGTTTCGTAGTGTACATGGCATATATCATCCACAAAACGAATCTCATTTTCGAAATTTCTCGCGATTATAATACTTACTCGCCAGTACTAAAACTAATAATTGCTGGTTGAAAATAAACAGAAGTTTATTGTTTCATGAACCTTACCTTATAGTGCTTGACAACAAGTTGCAAAATATGAAACAATTGCTGCATAGAATGTCCTTCATCAACAATGATTTTCTTCGTCCAATGTACAAGCATTGTATTTCCTTCTTCCATTCTGAGAGGCATTGAGGGTGTCAAAATTTCCAGCGCCTGCCGCACCACACCTCTAGCCTCAACTGCGTGAGCCTTAAGGAGACTGTGGAATACTGAAAAACAATAGAAAAATGGTTCAACTACGAATCTATAAAACGAGAGCTTGTTATTTGTTAAAATAATCTAGAATCAGGTTTGATCAACAATTGATGAGTGATGCTTATACTGTAAGATGCGGTTTTATTTTATCGTTTATCAAACATACCAAAGAAATCAAGATCACCGATTAAAAAAATGGTATTGCCACTGGTTGTTGAGACCTGCATGGGATTCTGGTAGCGCAGTGAAGAAACGTTATCAAGTCAGAGTGGTTTTACAAACTTACAGTATAATTTATAACACTGCCCATAAAAAGCCAGGAAAAATTAATGAAGATTAATGTGGGAGTTCCACAAGGTTCAGTGATAGGGCCATAACTACAGAATGTGTTTTAGAGGGAGCACTCAGGTTGAATACGTTACCAGGAATTGTCAAAGTGGGTTATACAAGTAATAATGGTTATAATAAAAGTCGTTTAAATACTCAACGACCATATTGTTGACACTTACCTTGTAGTACAATCTTCCTATGTATTGCAAACTTGTCAATGATATGCGACAGCAACAAATGCCCATGGTACCTAGTGGCAGGATCAATGCAATTTTCACCAAGCAAACAAGGCCAAGCGAACGTCATGAGGCGTCTGAGCTTGAAACTTTGACCAGCCTTATTGTTTGCGTCGTGATCGTGTATGTGGGGACTAGCTTTCTCCACCAGCAGACAGGAAAATTGCAGGAGAGAAATACGAACGCAATCGGCTGATGGGAATGGATTGTCAGGATCAATCAGCTGGAAAAAACACGTGTTTAAATAAGCAAAAATGTTCCAAGTCGCAGAAAGTGGAATTGACTGGTACGTATCTGTCAAACTTTGTGGTGCTAAAGAAATTTCGGAGTTTTATCCAGATAAGGGGCTACTTGATGATCCACAACGAAAGATATTTATTTACCTTGTTGATGAAAACAGAGACTACATTATCATTGCTATCTTGATAAGGCATAGGCGGGCCTCCAACCAACTTATTAGTTTCGCCTCTTGCAAAGCTTTCAGCAAAACATGGTATCAGAATTAGTTGTAGCACTTTAGCTTTCAATTCCTGAAAAAAAGTATATGAATCAAGTCTAAGTGAAAAGTATCATTCAGTATGTTTATGAATATATCATACATAAAATATTGTGACTGTTTGTAGTAGTATGGGAGTGATGTTTTATAAACCATATACTCCAGATGTAGTTTGCGAACTGTTTTAATTTGCATTATTCCCCAGAAATCCCCACAAAAAATGTCACACGGGATTAGATTGCCGACGTCATCATTGCGAGAAATCACGCGGCATTGGAACACCCAGTATTATCATTGATACTTTGACCAATCAAAAATTTGACTCACCTGGGACATATCATTCATCGGGAACAACTCGACGAACCTAAAGAAGGTAGTTCTCTTCCACTCTACCGTATAATTTTGCGCGACAGTATGTTCCAAGAAATCTCTCAAGAACTGAAACTCTGGAATGAACCTATCCACCGTAGCTCTCATCAATTGGAACAACAGATCTATATCGTTCGGATGGTGACAGAAATAGTGCAGGAGTATCTTCACCAACAACTTGGGTTCTTTCCAATGGGTATACTCTAACTGTTCGATATTCTTATGTCTTTCTTGATATGAATCATCGCACCAAATTTGCTTTAATGCGTCGACTAGTTCTTGCTGAGTCGAAAGCCATTGGTCGTCGAATTTTATCAACAGAGAGATGATTCTGATGGCCTGATACTGGAGTTCGTTACGTTCGTGTGCTTCTAAGGTTAGATTTGTGTAGTTCGAGAGCACCATATTGATCAGCCGTTTCACCATGTTGTTTGGTATGTAGTCTCTGAAGAGTTTTCCGTCTTTTTGCTTTAACAAGAACTCCAAATATCTACAAAATAACGAGTTCATTGAATTACAGTCATTTTCAAAGTATATTTACAACACTGCTAAATATTTCAAGAGCGTATTCACTGTCTACAGACAATGGAAGTCGAAACATCTACATTATCTACAAAAGAGGATGGGCAAAAAATATGGATTCTAATACCATAAATAGTAGATTAGCGATTTTTAGGATGTTTGTATTGTTAGTTCTGTCTGCAGCCTGATCAAACTAAAGTTATCTTTGGTATTTATCGTCGTCGTTATCCAGAGGGCATAATTGAATTTTACTGAACTATAACAATGTTTTCTTGAATTTTTACGGTCAATGGTGTTTCATGATCTTTCGTCACTAATCAATACAAAATACGCTGCCTCTTACTCTTTTTAGGTACTGTGCTTATTTTTTTAAATAGGCGTCATTTTCGAATCAACCTCTTCTCCATCGAAAAATTGGATGGTTTTATTTACATTAAATAAACAGGTACTAAAAGTGTATTTTAAATTGTTCTATCAAATGAAATTTCAAATTTCCAAATACCAGAGTAATAATAAAGAAATTGTTAGCACCTCCACGAAAGACTGATTCAAACCTAACTAAATATTAGTTGGGGGCTTTCTGATAGTTTACTATGCTTGTCCCCACATACCAGGCATTGACTATGCCGATGAGTTGCTAAAAAGCACGAAACAGCACTCCATGGCAAGCTGTCTGTGGTCAGCATGTTTGGCAAATATAAATCAAATATTTCGTTATGTTAGAATTGCATAACTACAAACAATCGACCATTTATAAAAATTAAGAACATGGTGCTAGATATAAAAATAAACATATAATTATTGCAACACCAAAACAGGAAATAATGTTGAAATCTTTTATATATTGAGTGCCCAAACTATATCATAACTTACCAAAATATTTCATAAAAAATAATATAATAATAATAACAGAATATCACTTAGTGCTATAGTTCTGGATACTGAATCAGCTATTGTTCACCTGCTAAACTGTTTATCCTTGATGTAACTATCGCTCAAGAACATTTCCAACGTTTCACCTGGATACCTCAACAAGAATTTCATGAGCACCTCTCTGAATGGGCTGCTGGCCTCGATACCCATAGCTTGTTCAGTCTGGAGAATTAACTGACAGAGTTGACTGATAAACTTTGAGGAAGCTGCTGGAGTCTGGTGGAAGATACTTATTATAGTTACGATTTTTTGTTCTTCGGATCCTTTCTTAGACAGACCATTTGTGTTTGTATTCGCTTCTGAAAAGGTCAACAATTACGTGTCACCAGGAATTACGAAAATTATGGCATTAAAATCAATAGAAGATTCGAGTAAGTAAGTGTTTAAAAACAATTCCGATCATCAAAACCATGTTGCCAAATAAGATTGAAGTGATTCCTTTAGAATATTAGTATCGTTCCTTTTGAAGAAAATCGTTCATTTTTAAACATGAGATTAACTTTCCAATGAAAGATATCTACCCAACCTCCCTCGTATTTATTACTGAGATTTCATGTTTCCAGAATTTCTCAATGAATGAGAAGGAAACCCCATAACCTGGAGCAACAATTCCAGAGGCACAGTGGTCAAGGCATACCGGGTGTTTCAAATTCGACTTTCACCATTGGGATCTCGGTAACCGTAAGATATACAAAATCGCTTTAATGAGGGCTAAGGTGCGCATTTAGGTAACTGAAGAAACTGGAACTTGGAACGTTTCTTAATTCCGAGATAGACGAACGAAACGGAATTATCCAAAAACCATTTTTATTTTTTCGTTACTTCATTTGCGATGGGATTTGAAAATAAAAAGTACGTTAACATTGCCACTTTTCCCCCTACATGATGGTATAATTACAATTTCAATATGACGTTTCCTTTCTTGTCCTCGATCATCAACTTTAATTTTTACAGTAGACGCCACAATGGATTTTTGTACAGAAAATAGTTTTCAATTCTGATTCCAAAGATATATAATATTTAACGTTAGTTATTCAAAAAATAGAATTTCCTAGGTAGGTATTGAAATTATTAATAATTATTTGTTTCATAATATCATCAGCCGAGCGTTCCTTCAATTTTTTATTTACTAGGCATAGCTGAAAAGTCCCTATTTCCGATTTTAATGATGTGATATTGACCACGAAATAAATTCATATAAAACATCAAAAAGGTAATCTTCCTATAATTGGTCAGTTGTTAGTAACTGATCGCATACAGAACAACATAATACTAAAACTTTTTCATATTATTCAAAGGTAGTAATGAAATCATTAAAAACATTATTATTTTATGTAGGTGATAGAAAAATTGTAGGTAAATAAAAGCCCTGACGGTGTCGCTGTTTTGTAAACACATTTCATGTCTGCTATATCTAAACCGATGCACATATTTAAAATAAATATAAATTTGAAACATTAAACATAAGTTACAATATTAGACGAAAACAAGACCTTAAATTAGAACTAAAATATATTATTCAACGACATCTGTCAATAACGTATATTATGTATACATACCTTGAATTGCCTTATATGTATTAGTGAGATGTACCATCAGCTGTTTCAAGATTCCCAGTAATTGCTCGCAGAGTTTTTCGTTGAAAACATTAGGGAACAATTGGGTCAAGTATGATAACATTTTGGCACCATTCAATGTAAGGTTTTTGAAATCTCCTAATGTCATGAGCAACGGTCTAACTGTTTGATGAACCTTAAAACAAAAACATTGCACATATTTCCTCCATCGTAAAATAGTAATAAAATAAATTGATACTTTTATCCTTTTGTTATCGAGTGCGTATTATCTTTTTTTCATCAATCTTTTTTCTATGCCTACCTTAGGCTACTTATATAACTTACCAAGTCCTTTTCAACAGGATAACCAGCTATGAACTTTTTCATACATTCAAAGGCAGTCTCTTGAAGCTCAGCATTAGGTTTTTCTAATGCTTTATACAGCACATGGAATATTTCTTCTCGTACTTCTTCCAGGTAGTAACAAGCCGCTAGTACCCTCAATGCGCTTGTTCTCAGTGGTATGAAGTTTGTAATAGATTTATAACAAAAAAATGTATTTAGTTTGGCATCTTCGGTATTGCATAACGACAGAAGATCTTGTATGAACAAGCTGTGTTCCTTTATTTTCATATCTGGAAAAAAAGTCTACTGTCTAGAATCCGGAATTCTTATTCCAATGGAATATCGATACATTCCATCCAAAAGATACGAGGGTGGATCAAATATGAATCGGACTTAAGTTTTAGTAATTTTATTGGTATAGTAAATACAAGTTTATTTACATCTTATTTTTCTAAATAATCTCCTCTCTCACTAACGCATTTTTCTCATCTGATCGGAAGATTTTTAATTCCCCATCAAAGAATGAAGCTGCATTAACTGTACGGCGATCGTGAAGAAAATAGAAAATCAATTAGTAGTACACCCCTGGAATCCCAAAATACCGTTGCCAGAACTTTTTCTGCAGAAAGACTGGTCTTTCGCGGTGCTGCCTCTCCAGGCTTTCGCTACTCCATGGATGTTTTTTTTTGCCAGTCGTATACTTGTGTCCTTGAAATTGTCTTGCGCAACAGTCGGGTGCATCTCTTGCTCAGACATGATGCTACTAACAGTTCATCTACTTCAGCGCGCCAAACCGACTGAATCCCCTCTTCCTGACATCCCCACCCAAGATATACCAAGACCCCATTCCATTCACCTATGGCGCGTTAAACAGGTTCATATTTGATCCACCCTCGTACATTCAAAGTGCATGCACTTTTTTCTATGAATGAGAGGTAGTAAAAGTTGCTCATCAAAGTTTAAACGTAAAAATATACCGATACATGAAATGGATATGAATAGAAATTTTAATAAAAAAATGAGAAAATCGGAAACACATTTTCTCGATGTACCTTGAATACTCGAAAGATTATATCATAAAATATCTTACCTATAGTAAAAAGTCGTGGATTCAATGTTGTACAGAACATATTTCCGTCCATAAGACCCATTTGAGCTATGGCTGGTTGGTGTTTCAACAAATGCTTCATAGGTGGTACCATGTCGGCCAGAACGTCTTTAGATGGTTCCATAACCGCAGTTACTGTTTTATTCTGCTTTTCTGCTAGAAGCTTCAATGAAGCCATCGACTGAAACAAATATTCGGAATACCACTATCGACGTCAAAAGTATTATATCAAATTAAAAAATAGCGTAATTATACCGATGAGATATATCATTTATGCTTTATATGAGTAATCGTGTACCAGTCTTCAAAATGCTTGAAAATGAAACTAATCAAGTTTTACCTGTTCTCTGATCATTGTATGAGGGCTGGTAACCTGCCTGACTAACTCATACGTAACCTCTTCCAAGGCAGTTTGTTGCAGATCCTTCGTAGCCTGATCAGACCCTTCAGGTGGAGGAGTGACACAGACTACCAGCATCTTCTGCAGGTTGTCTTTGGCCATGTCCAATGCTCCACTTGACACTTCACCTGTCAAATCCATCATTACGAAAAGCAACGCTTTGAGGAACGTGAACATGTGCTCGTACACCCATTTTAAAGCGCATCTTTCGAACATGAATTTGATGGCGATACAACCACCTAGTTTTGCGTACCAGGCTCTTTCGTAGCAAAGCGCGCACATTTTTTCTGAAAGGTATTCGATAAGAGGGAGACGGCATGCCTGAAAATAATATAACTGTAAATCAGATTTGATCGCTAATCTGGAGAAGGGATTAAGATACACAGCTGTATGTTACCAAATAAGCACCTTGCTAGTTAAGCTACAATGCTTCATGTCAGAATGGAGTATTTACCAAAATGTTTATTTCGACGGAGCATGAATATTTTCCTCCAAAAAGTATATTTTGAGTGTTTTCATTTTTTTGTATCTACAAGAAGAGGCCAGTATTTCGATGCCATGTTCTTGAAATGTGACCCTACTTCAGTTATGAGGGCTAGGTTTCCGTCAGATTAGAGGATCCTTTTATATTCTCTGATCTTGTTAGTTTAAGATGGAATGTATATTCAGAGACTGGACTGCATCATCTTTGGCAAATGAATGTAAGCAACGTACCTCAGCTGTTCAAAGTAAAATTTTGGCTTACCCCATTGCGCAATTTTATATACTTGACATTGAAAAGCGTTTTTACACCAAAAATAGATACGACTTATAATTACAATGGCCAAAAATTAGTTACCATTTCCCTGCTACCCAGAAGCGTAGAAGCTGTATCTACAATGAGCACTAGTCCTAAGTGCCCTGGTTTACACAGTTCTCTCTCTTCATGTCCCATAATGATAGCTAATGCATCTACTAGAACCAACGGATCCAGAGTGACTTGTTTGTTGCGTCTAAAAGAAGTAACAATGATATCAATTAAAAACTGGATAATATGTCATTACGTAAAGCTCATTGAACCTATCGAACTACATTTAAAAAAAATTAGCTCTTAAGAATAAAGATCTGCCGATTTTTTTTATTTAATAATATAATCAATGACTCACTTGGGTGTGTAGGCAAAAGCCCCAGATTGTTGTGCAACCGCAACCATTGTATAATGTCTCACTATTGATACTAGAACTGGTACCACTGGTTCTCTTAGTTCCTTTATAGCAGCACCAACGAACATTCCTAAAACCAAAGCAAAGCAACTTCAGCAAACGTTTAAGTACCTCTTACTACAAATTATTCAAATGACATGCCGCGTCAAAACACCGTTGTTCGATAACATGATTCTTGTGTTCCTATCGGCTTATTGATGCGTACTCAGCTTGCTGGCCAATAGGAGAGCGAGAATGTGAAGATAGAGAAGCGCCGTTTGTTTTGTCGTGCCGCAAGTGTTAGATATTAGTATTATATTTTACCTGTTAGAGCTGTTTGATGTGTTTCTCTAGCTTGTTTATAGATAGATTTGTAAGTGGATCCTTTAATATTCGGTATAGTGTTAGGATCTTGGAAACTAGGATGCAAAAATAGATTAATGAGCGTCTTTTCATCATCATTCAAATTCATAGAGGCGGTTAAATAGCAGTTTATGACCTCCCAAGCTTGTTTTCTGTAGAAGGGATCTGTGTTGCTCTGTTTCAGAGCATTGAAAGCAGTCTCAATTATCTGAAAATAAAGTTTCATCAAAAAAGATCAAACGGTATTGGTACTAAGTTACCTTTGACACTGGGAAATCTATAGTTTGTTCTAGATTATGGAACTTGGCTAAAATTGCAGGAGGATCAAAGTCTGACGATATGTATTCCAGTTTTTGTGGTTCTGTCATCATTTTTCTGTTACCACCGCCAAACTTGCCCAAAACCCTGAAAAATATTTTCAAATTGGTACAATTAAGTAAATTAGTTGATTAAAGTGTAGATAAGAAGTTTGGTTTGAACTTACTTAAAGGCAACTTGTGCTACTTGATCATTATTCCTCAAAGTTCTCCATAGAGCCTGCATCAACTCTGCTCTCACAGGTTGAATATGCTCGTATAAGAAGTCGTGCTGCAGGTTATCCACACAGAGCTCCAACGTCCTTAAACCCTGACTGATCAGTACGTGAGACCCGTTCAAAGCTGACACTAATGGGTCCATCAGCATAGGAAGATAGGGCAACAATGAGCTCAACCTAGACGAATAAAAAATAACGATAAGTAATCAAAGTTAGTATCTGACATATAAAATCTTCCTACCGGCGTTTGACTACAGATATTTGTTTAAATTTTGGAAGAATATTTTGAAATTGTTTTCAATATTCTAGTGCTAGTGCAAGGGTAAAGCGGTAGAATAGCTTGTGGCTAAACTTCGCCCGAAATAAAAGTCGATTACCATTACATACTCGTATAATAAGAAACAGCACACTTTCCAAGAGTCGCTACAATGTTTTGAGGAATTTCAATGGGCGACATTCCTTTTTTTCAGATATTTCAAAACCCGTTAATTCAAGAAGTTCTACATATAAACTTTCAATTTTGAATATCCACTGTTTCTGGCGGGTCACAGTACAGGAATTACTTTTATACATCCATCTTCCTCACGCATACATATGCGATTGGCGTCTATGGGCGGACGTCTCGTATCACCGTCTTTGATATTTTCTCGTCAACGTACGAGTCTTCCACGTATATGCTTGCCACTGTTAGTATGGCGACTTGCTTGTCGTGGGCGTACAATTTGAAGGATACCGGGGAATAACGACAACAGTCCATCAAGACTGATTTTGAGAAAATCGATAATTAAGGTTTACTTACTTGTTGGAAAGTAAAACTGACCAAAAAATAAGTCGTAAGGAATATCTTTGCTAAACAGTGTGTTATTGATAAAATAGATTTTACAAAATGAACTTTTACTCAAAACTAGTAACGTAACAAACAAAAGATGATGTTCAACTCTGGACTCGTGCAACTTTTCCCCTGCTTTAAGCATCTGTTGGCGCGACATCCACATATTCATCACTGCTGTCTTCTGGATGATCAAGAGATATTAACTGTTGATAAAATGCCCTGGAATCTGCACTCTCTAGAAATTTGGTCAGATCCTGCAGATCCTTCCATTTCTTACTTTTAATTGGGATTGGGCCCTGGTAAAGTTTTCTCAATGTTTCCTCTTCTCGTTTTTGTTGATCTTTTTGCGTCTTTTTTAGATTCTTCCGAATTACCTTATCAAAGAGTTAGAACTATACTAAAATTCAGCCCAAGTGAGACCACAACATCGCAAACTCGAAGCGTGATCAGCGCGTGATCGATGTTCCCGCAGAGGGTCTCATTATAGTTCAGGCATTTTACGGTTTGAAGTTGTAGTTTGAAGCGCTTGCTTTTTCAACTAATAGTTTCATTTCATAGCTTTTATTTTTCTTTTTTTAAACTTTCCGCCCCTCATATTGATGCTTTTGTTAAATACAATGTCTTGAAGTGGCTCCAATATAAAACTCCATGAATTTGGAAAACATGCAGTTTCGAACATTTTTTAAGACCTAGTTAGACTGTAGCAATACAAAACCCGCCGTTGCGCCGTGTTGATGTCTACAAAAAACAGAGTTGTAATCAGGCCGTGGCGTGGCGTCGAGTGCATCGCTGTTATAAGTTCTGTTATACGAGTATATGGTGTTTTTTGACCATGTCTTCTACCGACACAGCTGATGAAGGGAGAACTACATTGAGTCCACCCAGGAAACGATCAAAACAAAACCATTTGAGCATCGAAGTGAAAGAAATTATTTTAAATGTTTACAAATGTGAAACGGAGGAAAAACCTGAGCTCAGCGTCAACGATGTTGTGCAGAGGGTGGCGAATAAAGTTGGAGTTTCTCGTGCATCGGTATTTAGAGTACTCAAAGAATATAAATTACGGAATGCATTTGCTGAACCTAAAACGAATCAGAACCGTAAAAGCCAAATTAAAGAAATAGATGATGCTGACAGACATGCGATCAGAAGGAAGGTTCATGAATTCTTTTTCCAGAATGAAATTCCTACAATTGATAAGATTTTGAAAGTAGTGAATGAAGACTCAGATTTGCCGAATTTTAGTAAAACGACGTTCTACAGGCTATTAAAGGAACTCAACTTCAATTGGCAGAAGTGAGGCCGAAACAGTTCATTGATGGATAGAGATGAAATTATACTATGGAGGAGAGAGTATTTGACAAAAATAAAAACATACAGCAGCCAAAACCGTAGAATTTACTTCCTGGACGAGACGTGGATAAATGCTGGCCATACAAAATCAAAATTTTGGGTGGACCAAACAGTAACGTCAGCAAGAAGAGCGTTTTTAGATGGGCTTTCAGCTGGGCTTAAAAACCCTACAGGTAATGCAGACATTCCATTTTAGAAAATCCAACAATAGTTATTAGATAATTTTTCATAGCCAAAGTGATTTAAATGAGGCATTACACGTTATCAGATATCTAGAAAAAACGAGGGGATGTTCACTCTGGAAATCAATGTATTCTACGTTGGAATTTTTGCAGAGACAACATACCTCGTCCGTCACGGAATGTAACACGTTAATTAACAACGTCAGACATTGCGTTGATTTGTAAATTTTTCGATAAGTTTGTCACACTTGATAATTTTTTAGTTTAATTGATGTTGCCTGTTTCTTTTTGTTTTTTAAGCTAACCAGATTCATCAACAGATTGAATGATGCATTGGTTGAAGTGTCCGATATATCTCACCGCATGCATCCCGCTATCATGAGAAACAATATAGCATCGTATATAAAATACAGAAATGTGTCCCGTGGCCTCAGTACTCTTGTGAAAGACATATAATGTACATCCGTATTCAACAAGTTTTATCTTTATAGGCAAAGGAAAAAGGCTCATTATTTGCCACATCGGGAGTGTAGATGGCTTCGTGAAGGAAGGACTATGGTGTTTTGAATAAAAAAAAACACTGACTACCACGAAGAGATAAATGGTGAAGCATTCGAAAACTGGTTTTTAGGCATTTTACCACGTCTTAAAGACAATTCTGTGGTGGTCCTGGATAATGCTCTGTATCATTCTCGGAAATTAGAAAAAATTCCAAATTCATCTTTTAAGAAATCAGAGATACAGGACTGGCTACGTGCAAAAAATATACCTTTTGATACGTTTATGTTGAAATTACAACTTCTAGATCTTGTGAAACAACACAGAGCAAAATATGATAAATATATAGTGGACGAGACGGCAAAAGCGCACAATAAAATGGTACTTCGTTTGCCTCCTTACCACTGTGAGCTCAACCCCATTGAGCTCATATGGGCAGATATAAAGAATTTTGTTGCTGAACACAACACAACATTCAAGTTTTCCGACATGAAAGAGCTGTTCAACCTTGCGTTGCAGAGAATCACACCAGAAAAATGGTTAAAATGTGTGAAGCATGTTCAGGAGAAAGTGGAGGTTGCAATGTGGGAGCTAGACAACATAATTGAAAGGCATATTGAACCGATAATTATCAACATCTATGATGACAGCTCTTCTAGTGAAAGTGAAAAATATTGATGTTGTCAAACACATATGTATAATTATATATATATATATATATAATATATGGATAAAACGGCGATAACAACGTACTCCAATCTTGAAAATCAAAATTTTTGCCACAATCAATGACTTCAAAAGGTGTAGGTTTCACACGGCAATTTTTAAATGTATCTCTCCAGTCATCCGGTACCTCAGTGTATGCTCTTTGGTTCACGAGACTCATATCTCTATCACACTCGAGGTATGAATGCCCCCAGATCGGGAATATTACTTTCACAGTAGTAAAACGATTTTTCTTGGTAACCAAGTAATGCAAAAACCGAATAAGTGTAAAATTTTTATTTTGCCCTGCACAGGAGTCACAGAAAATGGCAAGTTCTTTTACTTCCATAGGCAGGATGTTATAAAAAAAAGTGTTACAGCATAGAACAGACATCGTCAGCTCCTTTCTTAGCAATAGATTCATCTTACTTATAAAATATAGAATTTTGTTCGGCCGATGCAACGCCGCCTTTCCATATGGACTGATGCCGTTTTTCCATACATCCCTTTTTACAATTTAAGAAGCTGATGACAAGATAGCATCAGGAAAATGCCACCAAAATAAACTGAAAGCTCAATTTAGCCAAATAATGGACTAATGCCGTTTTTCCCCGGTACCCTTCATTTGTATTTACCTTTGTTGATCTTCTATATAAAACATGTGATGTGTGAAGATACAACAGTGTCGACAGCCTGTACTAAATTTATAGAGGTATCTTCAGAAAATGAGTGAAAAAAACGGATCAATATCACCCAATTTATGTGTATGTGCAAGAGCGACTAGCAGCTGTATTACGGATCGGCTTGCGCGGTTTGCAATTTTCCTTAAGGAAGTTAAGCTATGCACAATCTGATTACTTATTTTGTATACCATTGAGACATAACCCATGAGCCAAAAACCGTGAAGAGAACTATAAGTGTTTGCGAAGAGGTCAGGAGCGGAACATGGGGATCAACCTTCGCAAATTGTTAATGATTACTCATGACACTTTGGCAGCATTGTCATTCCAACTAACAAGCATGTCGCACAGATCTGAGATACAAAAAATGCAAATTTAAGTAATTCTAACCTGACAGGAACAGTCAAGCAGAGTTCGACAAACAGATCCTTCATATGTTGCTTATGCAGACCGCTCTGCAGCCTGTTTAGACCTTCCAGCAGATTTGGCAACAATGGGAGAAACTCCTGATAGAGTAAGTCGTGACTTCCACCTCCAATAGAACGGAACAATGCTCGGAGAAGCAGGAAGTAATTGTAGGGCTCCATGGCGCTCATTGCCAGTTCCATAGATCTGGAAAAGAAAAAATCGATTTAGGCTCTATTTCGATAAACATAAAAATGAATGCTGTCTTAAGGTGGTACGTCCCTTTTTTAGATTTCTTTTCAACTTCCTGTTTGCAGCAGTATTCTAAATCCGTTTCATCTGATAATTTCATGGTGTGTATAGAGATGACTAAAAACCAATGTTTTAATTTTTTTGTCAAAAAATGCATTTTTTGTGCATTCTTACTTCAATCGGAACTTGTTAACAAATATAAGTACAGCTCTGAAATTGTGTGTGAATATTCCTCTTTTATGGAAGAATGAAACGAGTTACTTTTTTTCTTATCACTTTTCCTTTTCGAAAAATCTTTCATTTTCTTGAAGCCTCGTCTCGCAGCAGTTTTGTAGAAACAGCTAAACGGCACGTTCGGAGAATATTATTTATAAAGCGTAACTCCTATATTTTTACATTCTGATAATATAAACAAACACTATATTTGTTCAATATTGTTGGCAAAAACTCCATGATTAGTGAGTCACTGGGTGCATCAGCGAATTTCAGCCTTTGAAACGTTCAATGTCATTTCCTGTATGCGCATATTTAGTTACTATTTCCATATTAAAAAATCAGCATTTACCTGTTCACTATCTGATGTAGATGCGGCCTCAACATATTCTCATTCTCTTGTGGAAACAGCGATACACTACCAAAAACAAGCTTAAACAACCTCAAATACAAGTTGCTTCTTTCTAGATTTGACCCCATCTCTTCCATTCGTTCCAAAAGGTATTCCACAAGAACAGTTGCGAATATTGGACTTGTTGTAGGGTTGGCAAGCAACGTATTTGGTACTATTTGTAAGGTGGGGTTCTTGTACACCCTTTCCACCAGGTACTCGATGGTCGTGGAGAAGATTTCGTGGAAGGTTTGAGAATTCATCATAGAGAACTGAAAAAAGAAACAAAATTGAAAGCATCCATCATTATTTTGGATTTGCTTTTAGCTGCTTGGTTCTAAGCTTACCACTCCGCTGAAATGTTCCAAAACTTCCTTTTCTTCTTTAGTTCTGACATTGTTTTGGTTGATTCTTGGGGGTATAATACCTGGTTGAGGTCCTATATTCAAAGTATAGATATCCAATGCTTTCAGAGCCCATTTTACCAGTCTAACAAAAACTAGAGTTTCGTGTGGTTGGAAATGTTTGGATTGGATCAAAGTCTGGCCTGTCGTCGTCTACAAAATACCAGCAGAAAAATTAATTTCATTTTCAAAATCTGTCAAAAATGAACTACCTTGCAAGCTGAGCAACCCCAAGTGATAGTCTTCACACCACAAACCAAGGTTTTCACTAAGCTTCTGTAGTCAGCAACGTTATAATTATTGTTTTGCGGAAACCCAAACTTTGATTTTGTTTCCTCCTTAGGCTGGGTTCCTGCGGTTTGACACAAAACGCTTTCCAGCACGTCAGCCACATTATTTTTAGAATCACCCTCCGTCTTCTCTACATTGCCACTTTGTTGTTGATTTTGAAGCAAAGTTTGAGCCTCCTGTTTACGTTGTTCACTATGAAAGGAAAGAAGGAAAAAACATTAAGATATGACAGAGAAAATAATTTTTGTTTGTAAAATATGTTTACAACAAATTGTAACGTCAACTCATTCGGTCATTTTTAACTTACCACTTGCTAATCAATATCGGGAGCTGGATTTTTGCGATAGTTTTGAACTTTAGAACAAAAACTTCCAGCATCCTCATAAGGAGTTCTCTACCTTCGTTGCTGCTCTCAGCTTCCGATCGTATCCTTATACAATCGACCAGATTCAACAACAGCTTGCATGACATAGTTTGAATCCTGAAAGATGGTAATTTAACGGGGCTCCTACAATCACGAGCACCATCTGCTGAGGTAACGGGGGGGAAGGAAACGATTGTGGGCTGGTCTTAGACGGTGGTCGGCGCTACTTTAAAAGAGGAAAGGATGACTGCGGGTGCCTACCTAGGTAAATTTTTATAATAACAGAGTCGGATTTCGATTAGCGATCTAGCCTGTAAATCGTTTCCTATTTTGGTACTCAGGTTGTGATCATTTAGTATTGTTCTACGCTTGTTACTGTTGGTCGATATTGTGTTGTTGAATTGTTGTGTTGTACTCTTGTTGGTGTGATTGTTCTTGAGTGAATATTTTTTATCAATGTTGATAATGGACAATAAAAGGTCATATGCGACAATTTTAATCAAGAATTCAGTGAGTTTAATTCATGATGAGGATAACAGTAGTGTAGAACAGTTCAACTCTATAATCGCAAAATACATTGGGGTAAGCGAATAAATTATTGCCAGAAGAGGTCATACCATGGAAGATGTGCTGCAGCTGTAGTGAGCCACAATACCGAGCGGCCTGTCTATGTGGTCCAAATACATTTGCGTTCTAAGCTTAGTCCAACCTCGCTTATCACTAAGATGGAACAAAGACTCAAACGCAAGAATCTTGAGAAGAAACTCAGACCAAAAAAAAACTGATATACAAATAACTAACAATTCGGAATTCCAAAGAAAATGAATAGTTTTATGGCGACTTGTGTCAAAAACCTGACATGAACGACATTGATTTGGAGGTTGCTAAGCAAGAATTTTTAGGGAAACTTCGAAAAAGTGACGACGAGATTTTGCATATCGAACAAGTCACCAAATCACAGGACTGTACTTTGTGGCGTCTTCATCGGAGGATCAGGTTGACAGCGTCTCGATTTGGTGAAGTTTGTAGAAGAAGGCAGACAACAAGCTGTAAAGTTCTAGTAAACTCCATCATATACCCCACAGAGTTTTCTAGTAAGGCAATAAAAGAAGGCAATCTATCTATTACAGTAGACAAGACATGTACTTAATCCAGGTAAAGCCTACCTGTTTATTGCTATGCAAAAACTACCAAACTGTTTCCTGTTATTTTGACGGCATAAGAAATTTTTATGACCCTCGTTCAATTGTTACCATCTACCACACGACCCTTGTAAAGATAATTGTGTTTATTGACATGAATTAACGAATTAGAATTTGAGTTCTTGAATTTATTTTAGGAAAGATATAAAATTATTTGAATACATTTTTTCTTAGTCGGAACGCACCGTCGCGTCACTTGGACTGGCAAGACGAAACAGTAGATGAATTTCGCCCAAAAACCGATTTGCACTTCACAGCTTACTTTTTATTATTTTCAAATGAAACTCTTGCAGCGTGCTAAAAACAAAGTCCACACGGTGCCAGCGATCCACTTTTTTGAGTTTATCCACTAGGATCTTTTTAAAATATCAAGAAGCTGAGCACAAATAGTGAGTATTTTAACCCACCATAATTCTTGCGCAAAACAAAATTTTGTAAAAAGCTCTGATAGCACCTTAGGCAATTATGTCCTGCTTATATCCAGAAAAACATCACAAACTGCAGAACACAAATTGAACGTAACGGCGAAGTGGGTACACTTCACGGGTCATGAAATTCAAATGAAAATGCAGGTATAAAATCTACCAAATGATCGTTCTCAAAAACATATTTCCTTGACATATCGATAATTTTAAACGCCAAGTTCCCCTATACTTGACTGGAGTTTTATCCGAATTTATTCTTCCCTACTGACGGTAGTTGCAGATCTGTTGGCTGTTGGTGTCAAACCCATAGAGCAGGTACCGATTTTTTGAAATCGTGAGCACATTATTCGTCGGATTTTCGATACATAAATTTCCTGTAATCACTGGGATCAGAAGTTTCTTAGTAATAGAACGTGTTTAACTGATTTCAACTCCCCCTTTTTAAGTAATACAATTTTTTATGTCAATGGTTAGGAACCCCTGAAACGTCAAAAACGGAGTTTCAGCAATTGTTATTTTTCTTTTTTGCCTATAGCACCAACGCCACTGGACTAAAACTACAAAGTTTTGGCATACTAGTAACCGCGTGTGGAAATTTCATAAAAATCCGAGCGGTAATTTCCCAGTTGATGTTGAGTGATACAGTTTTTCGTGATGTAGATGTCATAAAAAAAACATAACATCTCATTTTAGAAATTTTACGCGATTAAAATACTTCCTCGCCAATGACGTGGGAAGTAAAACAGCTTTAAACGACTTATCTACGTGATATTATATGAAATAGGGCCACCAAATTATCTGAATACGTCTTTTCTTAGTCCGTACATTGCGCCGCAACGCTTGGTTTGGCAGCACGAAACAGTAGACAAAATTCGTCCAAAATACGATTTATAGAGGTTTGCGCGCTTCGAAATTGACGCTTTATTTTTTAATATTTTTGGATGAAATTTTCACAGAGTGCTGAAAACAAAACCCCACAGGGTGCTATAGAGCCACTTTTTCATTTTGTTCACTAGGTTCTTTTTAAAAAAATCGTGAAGTTGAACAGAAAAAGTGCGCACTTCAACCCATCATGAAACTTGTGCAAAAACAAAATTTCAAAAAGTGCTCCTATAGCACCCTGGGCATCTTCTCAACATACTGTATGAATTTCATTGAAAAATGGAGTGTCAGTTTTGAAGCATCTGAACCCTTGTAAATGGCTTGAAACTCACTGCGTCGGAGCCGCCTTAAATGAGCTGTAAACAAGGATTTAACTTGCATCATTGGTTAACATATTCCATTAGATGATACCAAACCCAATTGGAAACCGCGACAATAGTCCTACGTACCGAGGCACATGCAACTACTTATTCATACAACTACATATGTTATACTCTGTCGACCACCGTCTTAAAGAGTCAGTGTTGGCGCACAAGCCGAGTTTGATCGCCAAGCGTGAAGAAAAAATTTGTTACCCTTCGTCACGCTTCTGATCAATGAGGAAACTTGCAATCTGCAGAGTGTCCCCCCCTCCCCCAGCAAACTTTCTCTAGCTCCGTATATGTTCTCGTAGTGTTGCCACAGGTTATGTAATTTCTTTGCTGGAAAATTCAGGGAATACAAAAATTTAGGAACAAATGCGAGGAAGGTTGATGCGAGTTTTATCTTTCTAAAGTAAACAATTTGAAGAATCAAATATGGTAAAATTGAGTTAATCGACTTGTCTCCAGTTCAGTTCATCTATTTATGTACATACGAGGTTCCCAAGCTATCATCATGGACGTTTTTGCTAAACAAATGCACAGCTCTAGTCAAATCAGCCAAGGACAGTTGCTGCCTAACATGATGAACTAAATCAGCAAGTGTTGAATAAGCTAAGGGTCTCAAAGACTCGTGAGTCGTCCACCCTCTTCCCAGGAGCACATCTTCGTCAAATAGCTTCTCCATGTGAGGCACAAAATCTACAAAAGGAAATATTCTATGACCACCTATTTAGATTGCGAACGGACGAGTTTACACAATTAAAAAGAGTTGAAATAAAATGTCAAAGACTGCATTTCGTGAGTAGTAGCATAGACTATATTATAACTTGAACAGATTTTCCGTCGACGTGTCACATCTTCAGATGTTATTTGATATAATAACCTTCTGCAGTCATGTTTAGCCTGTATTTGATGAGTGATGAAGAGAATCGCTTCCATTCTGTTCTGTTTATATAGTATATAAAGGAAAATAAAGGAAATCACGTTTATTTATAATAACATATTTTTTTTCAACTTGGTAAGTATATACTTACTATTTCTCAGATCAGTAGCTAAAATATGTCTTGCAGCAATCAGCAACTCTCTTCGTAAATGAGCTACTTCTTGTGGACATAACGTCAAAAGTCCCAGCATACCTTGCACCATCTTCGCCGAATGAGTTTGAACAACTTCTTGATATATTTTTATGATATATGCCAGAAAAGACAGAGTTTTTATCTGAGCCCCCATGAAGTCAACAAAAATCTCTTTGTTAAAGGTCTCAGCTTGTCTCTGTTCTGGCGTTGGTTGCAACGTTATAGTATTCATGATTAGGGGGATGAAATCGCTTACATCTTGATATACGTTCAATTTATACAGTTGGTACATAAGCACCACGATGATTGGTAGTTCCTGTAGTACTTTTAGAGAAAGTACTGCTTTTGGGATTAAATAATACTGAAAGAGACATAATTGATAGAACGTTTATATTAATAATATAATTTCAAATATTTGATGCAAACGTACATGTACGAATGATCACACTGTTGTAATGTTTGCAAAAACGCACAACTATTAGTTTAAAATAATAGAATTATCATTCAATGTAACGGAAACTATTGAAATAAATTTTTATTTTGACTTTCTAGACTTTAAGTGATATTGCCTTTTTATATGAACAAATCGTGGCAAAACTTGATTTTCGTTCAAACTTTTATCATCGACTTCCATTAGATACGAGGAAACCAACTTTAATTCTCTGACGTTGATAGTTTTGGCATGAAATGCATGGTCATGTTTTATCAGCACCCGAAATAAAAATTAAATCGTATTAAATGATTCACTAGGCGGCAAAAATAAAGCGAAAAATAAGGTCCATCTATTCAACTATAAAAGATCCAGTTCTGTCTAGGATCTAGGTGAGCAATAACCCATTAAGAGTTTGAGATAATTAAATGCAAGTTATCGAGAAAATGGCAATTAGATGTCACAGCTTAAAATTATATTTTTCTCCTAAAACATAAAACTTACTGCGTTCAAAGTTCCATCCTTATTCCTAGTTTCAGTTTGTATTATAGTCATTGTAAAGGTTTCTTTTAGAAGTTCTTCCATATTAATTTCACTCAAATCCTTCACTTTTATTGGTGGTCTAGGTTCGAAAATTTTGTCCATGTGATTGGGTAGATTTGAGTATATTGATTTGACAAACTGAAGAAACCTTTGAATCTACAAAGAGAAAACATTTTTTAAATTTTATCTTCCTATTGCATCATTTTTTAAATAACGTAATACTTACACTGGTACTGAACACTGGTTTATACTGCTTATGGAGTTCAATAATAATCTTCAAACATACCAGAACATTCTCTTCATTATCTATTTCTAATAACTTCATCATTAGCTGTAAAATAGGTCTAACATACGGCTTTAACGTATCATTTGTAGGAAGTCTATACAACATCTCTAGGATTAATTTCCTAACCTAAAAGAAGCAAACATTCAATAGTTGTTACTGATTCTAAAACAATATTTTTACCTGTTGCAAATTGTATTCTGCTATGAACAAGGGTTCTCCCTCGTCTAGAATTTTTAAAAATATTTTTATAGAGTGGTCCAAAAAACCAGGATACATTGGAGAGTTCAGAATCATCTAAAATGAAACCAAAAAATTAAAAAGCTGTTCGCAAAAAAATAACTCATAATATGGTGTTCCAAAACCATCTCGATCTCACAAACGCACTGACTATTATTGAACATCATCTTTTCAATAAATGTTATATTTAAGATTCATTAATATCAAAGTTATCAACTTCTTACCTCAAAATGCTTGCTGATTTCCTGTGTGGCCTTGAGCTTAAGGCCATCTTTGCAGTCTGGATCACCTAGCATTGTGACATAGCTCCTGAACTGGTTCATTTGTGTAGTTCCCGATGATTGAGCCGTCTGCATCTTGATCGGGATTTAGATTATATCCTGCAAAAAAAGAAAGTTTTTCTAACACCCAATAACTCAAAAATCGCTAAGAAATTGTTCTTTACTTGCTACGCCACCGGCGAGAAAAAATTCGAAACCGAGGTATTGTTTTTTGGATCTTATGTGACACATCACGAAAAACCATGTTACTAGTTTCCGTTGGCCTGTCTGTCGGTCTGTCCGCTAATCGTTGGCTCGAGTATAACTCGTAAAGTATCGTGGGGGTACCGACACAGAAACCTAAATATCAAGATAACATGATTGCTATATTGTTAGTCCAAACTGCTTAAATTCAGTAGAACTGAAAAAAACCTCTTCAGACAGATTGTTTCACAAATCTGATACCCTAGAAATAGAGGAGCAATTGTACCGGGTACTATAGAAGTGTTGCAATATGACTTAACAAACGGACGCTGGAGGCTGCATGTTACTGCATGTTGAGACATGTCCATGAGTGCATAGTAGCCGGCAGCAGCACGTCTGTTGATTTAGTTGTTCATTCGTATTGATAGTGTAAAGTGCGGGCATCGTGGTCACGTAGTGAGATAAGAGCGGTTTTAAGGTATAACTTTACGCGTGGTTTAAGCATATATCATTCCTCAGAAGAAATGAAGCTTGCATTAAAGAATGATTGTTCCCATGGTACGAATATATTTCGGTGGTAGAGAGAATTCCAAAGGGGCAATTTCACTCTGGAGGACGCTGAGAGGGAAGGAAAGTCGCGAACGTCCATCACCGAGGAAAACATTACTGCTCTGAGGAAAATGCTTGACGAAGACCTGACATAACAACACAAAGAGTATACCTTACACCTTCATGCTTCATGCACCAGCAATTCATCAAATTCTGCATGACCATTTACTCGTAAAGAAACTTTGTTCTGTCTAGGTACCGCATAGTCTGACTGAAGAGCAGCAGACTCGTCGTACAACTTGGCGCCAAAAGATGCTGAAAAAATGTTTGATAAGGGGCAATCTAGCATCATGAAGGTGACGAAGGGGGGGGAGTTCAAAACAAAGTTTGGGTCTTTGATGATATTGGTTTCTTCCAGACCATGTCACTTCAACGAAATTGGATGTGCGCTTGGACATATCTTGTACTGTGACTTGCCATATCCCCAGTGTTCTCTTCTTCATATCATCTTATTAGCCAGAATATTCAAAAGAAAATGCAGTTTTCAGAAAAACACCATTTTCAAAACTCCTACTCCAAAATCTCTTTTTCTATTGACTTCTATCTACCAGCAAATGGATAATTTAGCAAGCAATCACAAAACGACAGTATCACCAATAAAATAACAACAAACCTCTCTTTTGACGCAATTCCACAACACATTAAATTACGTTCTGAGGAAGTCGATCCTAAGGTTGACGAAGTTGTGCGGCAGGTATTATATCGATTTTTCCTCGAAGTTTGGAAGTTCAGTCGGCGGCTGTTATTCACGTCGTAAACACCGCCGAAACTTCGCAACATGCGAGAAATTCGTGGAATTTGACACCCGTCGGAATAAAAACATCTAAGAACATTGCGAGGACAAAATAACTGAAAATGGACGACAGGACTATAGATCAGATTTTCGCAGGATCGTTGGAAAATCTTCCACCGGTCAGCTCGAAAATCGTGAGGATTTTTACAAGTTCCACATTTACAGGTAGATTATTAAAATATCATGATATCAAATGATGGACATATATATTTTTTGTTTAGATACAACCATGGAAAGAAACACACTTATGGCAAAATGCTATCCGAAGATCAAAGACTATTGTCGAGAAAAACATGGTTTGGAGTTTCAGGTAAAATTTGACCAAAAGAAAGTATGTATGTCTCAAGCGATTCAGCATTTTTGACACTTCTTTTATAACCGAAAAAATATGGGCATAGTTATACACTTCCCAGTTTGCCATTTTCCGTTAGATATACCAAAAAATAGTTAGACGGTTTAATGTACTTTCCCTAAGATTACATAGCCACCACAGAACCAAGGCCCAAAAAGAATCATATTGTTCCTAAATGATTTTCCAAATCAAAAACATACAAAAAGCTGCTTTACGGTTTCTTTTTAGTGATAGAATAACGATATTTTCTGACATTTTGATAAATGGTAAAAGGGCATATATTAGACATATTACGCATTAATCACATTTTTAATTACTATTATGTCCAACTGAAACTAGTACTTCAGCCGAAATCGATTCCGAAATTTCGGTCCAATTTTAGTTTCGACCGAAACCGAAACTTCCAACTGAGGAGTCAGATATGCTAGGTAAGATAGTGTATCTCCAAGAAAAAACAAACTCGGTCTTCATCAATTAATATTAGTAACAATAATAGCAGTTTAATATTAAAGAAAAAAACAAACTATATAATATGTGATAATCAGTCTCTTTGTTTCGAACATTTTGTAAAAAACAGACAATAAAGATAACAACTTATGATCTGTTGCATCAAACATTAGTTTAGATGGAAAACTAGTTCAATTTGAAGATGCCTATTGCACAAGTACTTGAGTCCCGTTTCAATTATTGGAGTTTAAAGATCGTTTATTTATTATTGTTAGTTTTAAAAAAACAATTTTATTAGTCACGATGATATTTTAAACGATGATTTGGGTATCCTTGGATCAATAAATAGCGGTTTTCTAGAAGAATTATTCAAATACCAAAGACTATTTCCAAGAGACTAGTAACTATTGTATTCTTTAGGAAATTCAGTTTGTGCAGTTTTAAATATTCTGCCTGAAATTGAGCCTGAACTGGAATTCTCCAATAATTTTTGAGTTACATAAAAAGTCCCTAGATTTCTATAGTCTTACAAGACTCAAATTTAATGTTGGTGCAACAACAATATCGTTCAACATTTGCCACTAGCAAATTTGACCTTTGGTCTGAATAAATTTGCCCGAAAGTGCACGAAAACATGCGAACGCAGTTTCTGTTGCAGTTTCAGCGGATTTTCTGCCTAAACGAACACTAAACCGAAACTCTGATTTTGGACCGAATCTGGTCGAACCCGAAAGCGAAACCTCCGACCAAAGACATCCAACCATGGACAGCTGTTTCGTGCTTTTTGGCAACTCATCAGCATGATCTAGACATAGCAATTATCCTCTATCCACTGTATGAGATCTAGCGAAATAAGACACTACGTACAATTGCAATGGTCAATTCTGGTAATGGATAGCGCTTTGCGGTGTCTTATTTCGATAGAAATCATCGAAATTGTTCTGTTCGAAACTGTTGAACTAAGAAAAAAGCAATTGAAGAAGGAAACTTCTTTCTGAGCCTTGCCGATGACATCATAATCATTTCTGGTTTACCATAAATCGTACTCCTAAATAACGTGAAACGTTTTTCATACATTAAAAGCATTTTTTACGGTTGATATAACAAACGATCATATAGATTCAAAATCCTTCCTGGAGTCAGTATTAATTTTTATTTAGATTTTCCGAGCGCGGTATACAGGCATGTTTACGGCACATGGGAAAAAGGTGAATGAGCACATATCTATTAAACAGTTCGAACTATCACCATATTTCGAAAACTCACAAGCTGTAACTCCTTACGCAATGTAAAACATCATACAGAAGTTAGTAAAATTCGATGCATACATGTTTGTCAGCGGAATGAAAATTACTTCCATGGTTTCGCCAGGTGGTGATAGTAGAGATGATAAAGCTAACAGTCTGATAAATTTAAAACAATTTGGTATGATGTTTTATGGGTGATTTTTTGCTAGTATCTTTTTGCCGACACTGTTTTTGACAGATGACGCGTGAATCGTGTCTTGTGTCATTGTCAAACTTGTTCAGTTTGGTCTATAATTTAACCATGAATCGACTTACGAACGAAGGGAGCTATTCGGAAGCTTGTGACTAAATTTCGAACCCAGTTTACATTATTGGACATTAAACCACCAACACGCAGACGTAGAGTGAGGACTGAAGAAAATATTGCGGCTGTATCCGCCAGTGTTAGTGATGACCGTGAAATGTCGATTCGCCGCCGTTCGCAGCAATTGGGCCTCTGTTACTCCACTACGTGAAAAATTTTGCGACAGGAAACCTTATAAGATACAGCTGGTGCAAGAGTTGAAGCCACACGACCTCCCACAACGTTTCCAATTTGGTGAATGGGCGCTGGCAAAGTTGGAGGAAGATCCACATTTTTATCGAAGAATTGTGTTCAGCGACGAAGCTCATTTCTGGTTGAATGGGTACGTCAACAAGCAAAATTGCCGCATCTGGAGTGAAGACCAGCCAGAAGCATTGCAAGAGCTAGCAATGCATCCCAAAAAAATCACTGTTTGGTGTGGATTATGGGCCGGTGGCATCATCGGGCCGTGCTTCTTCAAAGACGACAATGGCCGGAACGTAACTGTGAATGGCGAGCGCTACCGTGCGATGATAACAAACTTTTTTTTGCCCAAAATGGAAGAGCTGGACTTGGCTGACATGTGGTTTCAACAAGACGGTGCCACATGCCACACCGCACACGAAACAACGGCCCTATTGAGAGGCGAGTTCGGTGAACAGTTTATCTCACGCCAATTGGCCGCCCAGATCATGTGATATAACGCCGTTGGACTATTTCTTGTGGGGCCATGTTAAGGCTAATGTCTACAGGGATAAACCAGCAACGATTGACGCACTGGAAGCCAATATTGAAGCATTTATTCATGAGATACCGGCAGATATGTTGGAGAGAGTGTGCCAAAATTGGACCTTGCGCATGGGCCATCTAAAGCGGAGCCACGGCCAACATTTACATGAAATAATCTTTAAACATTAAATTATATCGACCGTTCTATCAACTCAAATAAAGATTTAATCGTTTTTTCAAAATTTTTGGGTTTTTTTTGAAAATCAAATCCTATACCTCTTAAAAAATCACCAGTTATCGACGTGAACAACAAATTAAAAATGAGATCAATAGATGCAAATCCAAGTTGAACGAACCGTTTAAAGCAGATTAAAATAAAAAGAGTGGCATACGAATCAATCGTAGCGCAAAGCTAATAAAGCATAAACTGCAGACAAATGTTCTCGTTACTTTGTCCCCGAATCCCCAAAACGCGAAAGCATTATTCAAATCCAGGATGCCCGCATTCTGTAAGCTAATTTCTGCATTTAGTGGAACTCTGCACGTTATCCAGAACAGTACAGAATGATACAGGAAAATAGGAACAAATTTTAAACGTCGAGGTGATTTAAGTTTGCATCTAGGTATCTTCTAGCCATACGATTAACGAATTCTATCTGCAGATAGGCAAATATAGGAGTAATGTATTATACAGGGCCCATCGATGTGTGGACGGAATATTACTGATAAACAAATACATTTTGGGAAAATCTAGGATGGGATGTTATACATGACATTTGAGGGAACATTTCTAAAATATTGGCCATTATACAGGGTTGCCCAATTTCGACCTACACATCAAAGTTGTGATTTTTCAAATGGAATGCCTCAAATTTTATTGCATATTTGCATAAACCAATTCAAAAGAACATTGATTGATACTATGGGGTTTTGGTAATTAGCTACTGAAATATAAGGTGTTTTGTCTAGAAAAAAAACCCACTTCAGCAACCCCTCATTCCGCCATTTTGAAATTTGGAGTGAATTTTGTATCAAAAAAAACTCACACACCTCAGCTTTTATCTTATTTGTTACTTTTTCGAATTTTAACTTTTGGTCATACAGGGTGGTCAAAAACGCAAATTATAGCTTTTCTCAAAAATTTCACATGCATCACCCTGTATATTTGTGCAAGTTTGGATTCCAATGGAGGTTGGCTTATTTAACTGACATATTTGACTCATTGAATGAGCTAAACTTGAAACTTCAGGGCAGAAACAACACTGTAATAAGCAATTATGATTATGTTCAGGGGTTGATATCAAAGCTTCAACTTTGGAATCAAAAAGTGTCTTCTGAAAATGTTATATCTTTTTCTCGGCTGTTTGAAGCAATTATAAATAACGTACTGGACTCACATTTAAAAGCTGACATAAAAACTCATTTGCAAGCGCTGGAAGACGAATTTCGCCGATACAATCGAGACATCAATTCAGAGTCACCAATATGGCACATGACAAGAAATCAATTTGTTGTCGATTCGTCAAAATTACCAAAAGGAGTTCAGGAAGAATTTCTAAAATGAAGGCTGATTCGTCCAAGAAAGATGACTTCCATCTGTTAACATTGGAGAAATTTTGGATCAAAAGATTGCCTGTTAATTCGATACTTGCCTCTCTTGCTTTACGAATACTAGTTCCTTTTTCTTCAACTTACTTATGTCAGAGAGGCTTTTCTGCCTAGTTTTAATTAAAACTAAACAGCGAAATCGTCTTGACGTCAATAGCGACCTGATGATAGCTCTGGCAAAAACAGAACCTAGAATCAACCAACTGGTACAGAACATGCAATCTCAAGTGTCTCATTAGTACCTACTCTTGTTTTATTCAAGTTTTTCGATAAAAAACATTTATTGGTTTATTTAAACTTTTAAAGTTTCTTTATTAGAATTAAAATAAACTTCTTTGTATCTATATAATGTGCGTATATATTGAAACAGTAAAGGGGGACATGAAAATATAATTTATAGTCCGGGGAGCCTCAACAAAAGAAAAAAAAGGTTATGAAACCCTGTGCTAGAAGGTTAAATAAAAGTTTAGTCGAAAAATGATTATCTGTAGAAATAGCATTTGAAAAAAAATATCTATAAAAATACCCCCGCACTTCTACATCCTGACAATATCCTATAAACAAGCACGGCATTTTTCCAAGAT